TGGGAACCGTCATTTTTATTATGTCAGCACCTAATAAAGTGACATTCAGACCCAGGCACCTAATAAATATTCCTTAATGATAATGAGGAGGAAATGAGGCTTCATGGTTAATTGCTGTCGTTCCCTGATGAGATGCATTTCCCGTACTGCTTTGTGGATCCTTGAAGACTTTCACTTGCCTACATGTTTAAGTAAATCTGGGGCCAGTGATGGGAAAGTGCTGGTTGAATGCTCTAAATTAATGTGATAGGTTGGTTTAAGGGTCCTCATACTTACCCTTCAGTGCTAGATTGAATCAAGACTGCTCCATCTCAGTCCTCTTGCATTGTAAGCCACAGATCTTATAGACACACTGAGCACGGCAGTGAGCTCCCCCTTGGAAGTGGATGGCAGTATCTTTTTAAAAAGAAAATTGAAATGGGGCCAGCCTGGTGGCGCAGCGGTAAAGTGCCCACATTCGGCTTTGGCAGCCCGGGGTTCACTGGTTCAGATCCCAGGTGCGGACATGGCACCATTTGGCAAGCCATGCTGTGGTAGGTGTCCCACATATAAAGTAGAGGAAGATGGGCATGGATGTTAGCTCAGGGGCTGCCTTCCTCAGCAAAAAGAGGAGGATTGGTGGCAGTTGTTACTTCAGGGCCATCTTCCTCAAAAAAAAAAAAAATTGAAGTAATTTTTCTCTTTTTAGTTCACAAATGACCTCATTTAGTTAGGGCAGCAAACATATAAAGGGAGAAAGAAAATGGGTGCTGGAGAGAGGGAACAGAATATTAATGGGTGGTTATAGCCAGCCAGGGGCGGGACTTGCATCTAGAACTGAAACTGTGATTAAGAACGCCACACCTCTTAGCCACTTCTGTTCATTGGATTTCCTGGGGAGCTTGGTTATTTTTCCTTTCAGTACGTGCTGCACACTTCTCCTTGTTCACACAAAGCAGTACAAGTGTTCCAGTGAAACCAGCTCCCAGAGGGTGGGAGTTCCAAAGGATCAAGACTGCCCTCTGACACTGAAAATGTGTACTCTTATAAACAGCCTGCGCAGCTCTTGAGTTTCCGTTGGCCTTTGGGGGCTTCTCTTTCAGAGACTACCTTCTAGGAGTTTCTGGGAAAATGAAATTTCTGAGTAATATCCTGGCTTCTCTGGCAAAGCCATTAAGGCAGTGAGGAAAAGGGAGACGGAGGTGCAAGATGAATGCAGCCCTCCCAGCTGGACACACATTTATGGGTTAACTTTGAGTGTTTTGGGTTTTTCCACAACTAGCAGAGGCCTAAACTTTAAAATCTATTTTCTGCTTGCTGTGTTTCCTTGTGTCTCATTCCTTAGCACAGAGGCCTGAGGTGATTTTAACTGTACTTTGCCACTTGCTCCTACGTCAGGGAAGCGCAGGGCTTACCTTTATCTCCCTACATCTCCTTCATTAGCTTACCCTCCACAGCTGAGGCTTTTAACAGAGCTGTCTGGACATGCATAGGAGTGCCCTCCACGCCAAACCCCAGAGAACCGAGAGCACTGGCTGCCCCAGCGCCAGTCTCTCCCACATGAACCTGAGACGTGCCTTACGGGAGTCCTGACAGACCTGAAGAAAGAAGGGCCGCTGCCCGCTCTCGTTTCACCTGTTAGAACTAGCTGTTGAAACTGCTGACCTTGCCATCAGAGGGCAGAATGAGAAGTGGGGGAAGAGCAGCAGAAAGTGAGGGGGCTATTCAAGGACTAAGAAAAACAGACACACTTGTCAGAAGGTTTAGATGAAGGAAGAAAGGGAAGACAGAACTAGGCCTGAGCTGGGGACCCCTGCTCCATGGATGACCTCACAGGCTACTGCAGGGTTAGTTTCATCATGTAAAAGTTGGAATAATGGTCCCTGCCTCATGGGTTGTTAAGAGAATTCAATGAGATTATAATGTTTTTGTTGTTTTTATAAAATGAAACAGTCTTTTGGGATTGGTAATTATTGTCTTGAATTCTTTTCTTGGTCCTCATTTCTGGTTATCTTTATGGGGCCCTGAGCAGCTAATGACTTCCTCTGGTCTTCCCGTCGCGCTCCGGGCTTGCTCCGGGCTTGTCTCCTAATATCAGTGCTGAAGGCTGTTCCTTAAGCTCCATGGTGAACCCCGGGTTTCAGGTCAAAGCTTTCTGTGCCTGCAGTCACTTTGAACCCCTCTTCTGAGCCTTCCTTACACCTGTTTGTGCTCAGTCCTGTGGTCAAGCTGACCTTTCCACATTACCTGCACTTGGCCCTACATCTGAGAGTACATGTATTGAAGTCTCCTTGCCTCCCCATCCAATAAGATCTTTCTTCTCCACTTTTTGAAGAAGTTAAGAGTAGAAAGAACTCTGACTTGAGAGTGAGACAGAGTTAGACTGTCTAACCCTACCGTATACTGGCCTGTCCGAGCCTGTTGTTATCTGTGAAATGGAATGCTACCTACCACATGAAATCACTAGGAATATTAAATTAGGTAAAATTTAAAGTATCTAGAACAGTACCTGCCACATAAGTAGGCACTCTAAATATTAATCTCTTCCTTGGTATTATGTGAAAATTTCCTTGCAGTGGAACCAAACAGGAAGTCATGTACACTGCAGTAGTTCACCTGTCGCCTATCTCCTTTAGTGGTGCATCATCCTGACGTACCTGAAGATGGTACACTCCCCTTCCACCAGGAAATTCTGTGCTTTGTGAGTTGTTTTTCCGGAAGTTGGATTTGTGCCTTATGCCTTGGGATAGTCAATGGTAGGTTGCTGAGGCAGCAAGCCAGCCGAGGTTTTGACAGATAATCTGTGGCTGTGGCACAGAAACTAGCAGGCCTGTGTGGGAATTGGACCCACAGTTCAGCCAATCCCTGCGTTTGATGGCAGCACACCTTAACTCACCGGTGTGCACACCTCTTGCTTCTGAGCACTTTTGCTCTCACTTGATTCTTACAGGAGTTCTGGGAGGAGGCAGGTTCTCACTCTCCAGAAGGAGAGAATAAGCCCCAGAAAGCAGTCATAGCCGGTCTCACCCTAGTGGTCACTGGTAGGTCCCAGGAAAAGACCATGAATGTCTTGATTGTCTGGGACTTGTGTGAAGTTTTGAACCCAGAGGAGAGCCATAATTCTGGCTGTCAGATGAAAGTTCAGAGCTCTTCCACAGAATCCTCTAGTTTTCCTGTCATTAGTGTACACTTTGTATCCATTTCTTATAGAATAGTCATTCATTCACTGGAAGAATTAAGTGCTGGGGACTCGAGGCACTGGGGATACTGTCAGAAATGAAAGAAATAGATAAAACCCCTGCATGCCCTGATGGAGCTTATCTTAAGGGTGGGAGGTTGACAATAAACAACTGAGAAAGGTGTGGTATGACTGCGAAAGATAGATAGCCTAGGTGACAAGTGCTACAGAGAAAGATAAGGCAGAAAGGAAGCTGCGGGGAGGTGGGGCGGACACTGAGTTTTCTCTGATTCTTCGTACTTACTGTCTCATCTGTGTGATAAGCCCTCCACAGCAAGGCTGTGTGTGTTCATTCCCTGACGTCCATCACACCCAGTACAGATTCCTGTGGGTCAGGCCTTTGCGAGACTGATTGTGGAGTTGAGCCAGATTTATCCAGAGAAGCAGGTGCAGGGGCTGTCTGCTTACCCACTGAGATGCCCAAGACCTCCCCAGATTAGAGCTGGGATCGCAGGACGGCGCCCTGACTGCTCTGGTGGGTTGGGGAGGGAGCCTGTGGCTTTTCTTAGAGGTTGGCTGTTAAATCTAGCGCTCCCCCTGCTGTTGGAAGATGGGCTGGGCTCTCAACTGATCTTTTTAAAATGATAGTTTCTTTTTTATCCTGTTTAAAAAAAATTTTTCTTGTAAATAAGTGCTGCTGGGATGTGTAGAGCAGCTTTTTCTTCTGGGACTGCTGCTGCTGAGGCCCAGCTCCTGGGAGTGGCATCGGGGGAGGAAACACAAAGGCCCAGGCAGGATAGGGTCATATCTATGCCCTTGCTACTTTTAGCGTCCCCTTGCCCCTGTACTCCCACCACAGCCAGCAGCCTGACAAAAGTTATCTCCACACACAGTTTCACAGCTGTTCTGAAATTCTAGGGCAGCAGAAGTGAAACTGACCACTGTCTTGTACATTTCTCTCTTGTTGCTGCTGTTCCCTGCTTGAAGTGACTCAGGCCTTTTCCCCTCGTCTCCTCAGGGTGTCCCAACTCATTATTTGTCCTTACAGCCGAGTTTTTGACACAAAACTCTCTTCATGGTGATGCCTTTGAAGAGGGTCCTGGCTTGGTTTCCCTACCTCAGCATCGTTTGCTGAGTCAGGAGCTGTGCTCGTGTGGTGCCAGCCCCAGAACAGCTGAGTCCCCTGGACGGGCTGCAGCGAGCCCTGCAGTGAGCTGACGCTGCTGCTTGTGTGCACCAGGGTCAGCCACACAATCACCGTGGAGTCCCTTTAGTCCTTAGAGATGAAATTCAAGTTAATTTTAGCAGCACTATTAATATCAGCTGAAGTGAAGAAGGAGCTGGCACCCAAGTAGACGTGTCTTTTTGGTTTAGCTGCCCCATTCAGACAGGTTGGTCACTTTGAGATTCCTGATGAGGCTGAAGAAGTAAGGTAGACCTGATGTGCAGCTCTGCCCCCGTGTCCCTGTCTCCCCAGGAGTAAGGCGAGGCCCAACAGGCATGCTTGGAGCATTGACTGATCGATAAGGATTGTGTAGCTAAGAGTCCTGTAACAGGTCCAGGATATTTTTCAAAGTTGCCTTCTGTGGGTGCACTTTATAGAGCCCAAGCTCAGGCAATAACTATTCCTATTAGGAATAAAGTAAGCAAAATTGTTTTACTGGGGCAGCTGAACCGTAAGGATACATGCTTACTCAAGTGCCATTTTCCTCTTCACTTCAGCTTATATTAAGAATACTGCTAAAATTAACTTGAATTTAAGATGCCTTCTCCACTGTAACTTGTAGTGGTAGGCATGATGCTTCTCTATAAAGTAATTCTTTTATGATTCTTTTCCCAACAGCTTTGAAAAGTCCAGCTGCATTTCATGAGCAGAGAAGGAGCTTGGAGCGGGCCAGGGTAAGGCGCCTTCTTCCCCCCGGGCCTCCAAAGAGCACTTTCAGAGCCTGTTGCGTTGTTGGTTATGTTCCTTCCCGTCTAGCCTGCCTCCAGGTCAGCCCTTGCCTCTCAGTTCTAAAGAGAAAGCTCTGCCTTTTCTACTTCATCCCCACCCCGAGCCATCTCCCAGCGTAATGATACGGAACATGGTCAGAATGAGTTTTCTCCTTTATTGTATTTAGGTGTATGTGCTGGTCACTGATCCTCCTCCTCTTGCTTTGGAGACCGCTAGTACTTTCCCATCTTTAATTCCACTTAAGCTTTTGTACATGGTTAGGACACAAACACCAGCCATGGAAAAGCTTGCTAAGTGGTGGTCCCTCCATATCGGTGGCTGCACTGCCCACACCTCTCCAGGATGGGCCTTTTGAGGGGCAGGAAACCTCCCTGGTCTCCATGTGCCCTGAGCAGCCAGTGTCCGCTTGAGGCTGTGGCAGCGGCAGCGGGGGCCCCCTCTGAGCCTAGGTTCATGCAGCAGCACCTGGCTTGCTGCGGTGTCTCCCCTCGGTTTCAGTTCCCTCAGGGGCCTCGGGGGATATTCTGCTGCCCAGTGTGGGTGGAGAAGGGGAAGTCGCTGGAGGCTGCTTCCGCCTCACACTCCCTTCACTTTTTTCTTTTACGTGAAAGACAAGGGAAGAGAACCTCCCCAAATGGAGGATCGTAGGCCATGGCTCCCGACCAACAGCTCTTTCAGAGACTCCGAGATACTGACCTCCAAGATTTTCTTACTGTCTTCTCTTTTTATTTTATTTTTAATTCTCTAAGAAAAATCATGGTTAATTCTTAGAGTGAATGGGAAGAATGAGATCATGGGTAATGGGAACCAAAGCAGTAACAAACTGCACTGTTTTACTTGCTGGGAGTGTTAGAGGATACAGCAGTGGGAGGAAGGAATGGCATTGCCTGTGCCCCCGACCCACTCGTAAGACTGGGTGTGATGTCCCGGACTGCTTCTCAAGGAGGCAAGGAGTAAATATGAATGAATTAGAACAGCTGCTGTTCTCTTGAGCACTTTTGTATGTGAAATAATGTCATTTTCTTGTTTATGCTTACATCAGCTCTTACAAATTAGGTGTTATTATCTTCATTTTATAGCTGCAGCTAAGAGAGGTTAACTAACTTGTCCAGCTAGTAAGTGGCGAAGCTGGGACTCAAACCTTGGTCTGTGGACTCCGGGTATTTTCTTAATCAATACTGTATTCTGCCTTGGCCTTGGCCACTGTTCAGAACTTCTGATGGCTGAGGAAATCTCCCTCCTCTGATGTCCATGAAGACCTCAGTGTCCGACGCCCGTTCTGCCAACTTCTGCAGCAGCTGCGGCAGTGCTTCTGTCCCCTGCACATGGGCTGACAGACCCAGAGCTCACAGCTTGAAACTGTCTCCTGGAGAGCTCAGCGTCACCCCTGGGCTGGCACAGAGCTGCCCCGTCAGAGCACTGAGGCAGCAGACAAGGGCCAGGTCTATACTGTTACTCCATGCAGTGTGCTCTGACATTTCATGTTTTGTTCTACTCTACTCTGCAGTGTCCTGTCCTGTGCTGGTTTTGATCCACTGATGGTCTTGACCTACAGTTTGAGAAATTCTGGTGCAGGGGTTGAGAGCACAGGCTCTGGAGTTAGACAGATCTAGGGTCAGAGATACATCAGAACATGGGCGCTGGGCAGTGGGCTGGCTCTGGGACTGTGAAGAGATTTATTTAGTTCTCCTGGAGTCTCAGAAATGGAGAAATGAAGATGCTGGACTTCAAGGAACTAGAGCTGTGATACTATGTGTCAAAATTAGTATTCTACTTGGCAGCCGTTCAGAATGAATGGAAAAATGCTCATGAGATCACACAATACTAGATTTTTTTAAATAAGATATAAAATTATTTTCAATATGATTATAAGTCTGCAAAATTAAACTTCTGCAGGAAGAATGATCAGAAACAAATATCTCCAAATACTAACAGTGGGATGATTAAAAATTTTTATTGTTGTTTTACTTTATAATTTTCTTTTATGAACATATATTACATTTATGATAAGAAAAGTAACAGATTTTTAAAAAATTTCTTTAGTAGTCCAGCCTCAGAGAGACAAGACAAGTGGTCTTGACAGATGATGGTGCCCTGGGCAGGTGCATGGAAATGAATGCATCCTCCCCAGGCCTGCCTCCGCCAGCCTCCCCTTGCCTCAGAACCCTGCAGTCTCCAAGTTGAGATCATGGGGGCTGCGGAGGTGACCAACAGCAGCCACTAAAGCGGCAGCTACTTTCTGGTCCTGTCCATGCTGTAACCTTGTGACCTGGATTTGAGAGCTTCCTGGTGTGTTTTTTCTGTAGACAGAGGACTACCTGAAACGGAAGATTCGTTCCCGGCCAGAGAGATCGGAGCTGGTCAGGATGCACATTTTGGAAGGTGTGTTATATTGGAAATGCTTCTTCCTCTAAACCATGTTCTCATTCTCTTCTCACTGTTGCACCACCCACCTTTCTTCTTCCCTCTTTCTCACCACTCCCATTTCTGTCAGCGGTTGGTAAGCCAGAGCCTTACCATAGTAAGACAGCAGTGCTGTGCAGTCACCCCTGGGTTTGGGAATTCCCAAAGATGCACAGTCACTTTCTCTTGGCTTGGCTTGCCGTTTTCTCTTGTGGCCATGCAGGGGCCCTGGGTCTCATCATCCCTTGGTATGAAATCTTTTCCTCCACAATCTGTTTTAAAATGCATTTGCTTTCTGTTTTCATTCATTCATTCATTCATTCACTCAGCATTTACTTGAGCACCTGTGATGTACAAGTAAGATCGTTGTAGACATACTCCACCCGGCCCCAGTACACACTTCTTTCCACACTCTAGTGAAGGAAAGGTTTTGGCTGCTGAAAGAAGCATGAATCTATCCATTTTTTGCTTACTTTTGAGCCACCTTTGGGGTTGGAAGAGAACTATCCTAGTCTGAACCCCACATTTTGCAGACGAAGACACTGAGACCCAGATCAGGGAGGTGGATTGGCCCCGTAACACAGCAAACTTGAGGGAGAGGGAAGACCACTCCATCGTCTGGTGCATTTTCAACTCTGTAGCTCCACCTCAGAAAATCCTCTGGGCTGGCCTGTGCCTGGTGACCATTGTTGTGTGTGACCACAGACTGTCCACAGTGGGGGCCCCTTCTTCTGTCCTTGTGACACTTCAAGCCAGGCCATTCTACTCTGCCGGGGATGTGCTTTCCATTCTGATGGTCTCTGCTCCTTCCCCAGAGGGAAGGAGGGCTGCTCTGGAGTTCCCAGGGCAGAACCAGGTCCATTCCTACATCCTCCTGCCCTGCATTCTCTCCCACGGACAGAGACGTCGGCTGAGCCTTCCCTCCAGGCCAAGCAGCTGAAGCTGAAGAGAGCCAGACTGGCCGATGACCTCAACGAGAAGATCGCACAGAGGCCTGGCCCCATGGAGCTGGTGGAGAAGAACATCCTGCCTGTGGAGTCCAGCTTGAAAGAAGCCATCATTGGTGAGGGGACCCCAGCCATCTGCGTGGACATGCAGGCCAGATGCAGAGGGAGGGGCTCTTGGCTTCTTGGTCTTTGACTTCCTGCTTAGACTTGGGAAACTGAAGTGTGGAGTGTAGAGCCTGATAAACAGGCCATATCATCTTGGGACAGTGCCCATGGTCTCAGAGATCAGTGCCATGCCAAAACAAATAATTAGGTCACAGAGAGGCCTCTGTCCACCTTCATCTCTGTAAACTCAGGACCTTACTCCTTTCTCACAGGGTTGACTGATGTCAGGATTGAGGTGTGTGAACACGTGGAGATGCTAGGGATTAAAAGTCTGTTCTTTTTCTTAGTGAAATCTCTTTTTCTAGCCTGGCACTTTCCACAGATATTTCACTGAACAAATATTGATTGATCCAAGCAGTATGCTGGGTGCTAGGACCACAGCCCCACAAAGTAGGCCAAGCCCCTTGTCCTTACAGAGCTCATGCCTAGGGGTGGATGTAGGTAGGTAAACAGGAACGACAAGACAGGCAGGGCTGTGCCGGAGGGAGCACGGGCTGCCTGGGCACACAGCAGAGGGTTACCCAGCCTGGCCTGGCAGGGATGTGGTGTCAAAGGAGGTGATGGCCAAGACTGAGGCTGCAGGGGAGTAGAAATTAAAGTGTACGTGGAGGGGGGAGTATGTGCTCCAGGCAGGGAGAGCAGCACAGGGCCAGGAGCAGCCTGGACATGAAGCTGGAGGAGGGGCTGTCAAGATGTGAGGTGGGAGGCGGGTGGAGTGCAGGGCCTCATGTGCCATGGTCAGGTGTTCGGATGTGATGCTCTTAGGTTTTGGTAATTCTTGGTACGACTTGTCTCCTTTGCTGCAGTGAGCCCAAGATCCGGTCCCAGACAAGGCCAGGCATTCCCATCCCTCAGAGGTAGCCCTGCCTTCAGGAGAAGGAGGCTCCACTGTTCCTACTGTAATAGTGAGTTAGCTCTTTGGGCAGAACGTGAAAGGGAACCACAGGAGCTGACCCCACAGCATGCCACCATGGGCCCTGAACCTGAGCCCCGAGTCACAGGACACTGTGGTTTCCCAGGCCTGATCTGCACTGCAGACGGTGGCCGGGCAGTGGAGGAGGTGGCCGCCGTGCTGGAGGCTGGCACACCCTGGGCCCCAACAGCCCTTTCCTTTTGGGAGCTGTAGTCCTTTTAATTCACCACTTTGGCCTGGCGTTCATCCTGCCCCATCTCAGTGTTTTCCTGTCTAGGTCTTCACAGGATTCCAAAACAGCCCCTAGTTACAGGGTCATGTTCGGGCCAAGGTCAGTTCTGGACTCTCCAGCCAGCCTAAATCTGATAAATGTTTGCCAAGAGTTGGCAACATGCCGGGCCCCGTGTGAAGTCCTGCAGTTACAAAGATGAACAAAATATGATGCTGCTCTGAAAGAATTCAGTCTGATGGGAGAAGACTGATGTAGAAACAAATGATTTCTGAGTCTGACTCCCAGTCAGATGCCAGTGCCGTGTAATAGAAAGGCCATGGTCCTGTGACATTGTAGCTGAGTCACCTGGCTTGCGGGACAGTTGGCAGGCTCACAGGCAATCATGGATATAAAGGATCCAGTGCAGTCCTTGGCTCCTGGCGAGACGCACGCAAGGGCTGCTGCTGTTTGCAGTAATGTTCATGACAGGCCAGCTGACCGCTGCTGTGGTGGACAACATAGACTAAGGGGCGTGTGGTCAGGTGCAGTGGGAGCTCAGCTGAGACAGGATTCTTTCAGGGTTGGGCATGGTGGCAGGGGCCCAGGAAGTACCACAGACAATATGGCACATTTGGGGTCAACCTGGAAGTTGAATGAGTTTACCAAGTAGAGAAGGTACAGAAGGACATTCCAAGCAGAGGGGGCAACATGGGCAATGGCCTGAGGGCCTGGTGGAACACGGCTTGTTTAAGGACTGGGAAGTAGTTTAGTTTGCCAGTGAGATCGTGGGTGACTTGAGAGAAAGGAGCATTTACCAGCAAAAGCTAGATCCTGCAGGTCGAGGAATGAATAGGAGGAAAGGAAATGGTGACAGAAGATGTACTTGATTACTCAAGAGGTGAGTGGAGAAGGGACAGAAAGGGAGAGGGTGGCTTAGGAAGGATTTTTAGGCTGGGAGAGATGGAGCAGGTTTATGGGCTGAGAGGAGGGAGTCAAGGGAGAGGCTGAGGAGCTGGGAGGATAAGAGGAGGAGGAGGGAATCGAATCCAGGCTGAGGTGGACGAGAAGGAAGAGGCAAAGCTGAGTGTGGAGAGCAGGAGGGAGCCAAGACAGTTCTGAGGCCTGCTGAGAACGGGGGCATGGGAGTGGACTTTTCAGACTGCCTTATCTCCCACCGTCTCCCTGCACACTCTCCATGGCCACTCCCAGCACATACTCATATCCACTTACACGCTCACGCACTCTCACACCCTTTCTTCTAGGCCACCCCCAATTGATCTGTAAGATTCATGCCAGGGCTCTCTCCTCCAGGACATCTTCCCTGAGCCTCTCCTCAGTGTCCTCTCAGTGTCCACGTTTCCCTCTAGCAGAGCATTTACTGTGCTCCAAGGCGATGGGACCATAAGCCCTTGGAGGGCAGGGACCCTGTCTCTACCTCCATTTCCTGCACCTGGCCTATGCCTGGCCACAGTAGAGAGAGAAAGAGAGAGACTCTGCACTGACCCTAGCCTGCACCAGTCCTTGGGCTTCTCCAGTGTGGCTAGCAGCTTCCTGGGCTGTTGTCTCACAGCAGGTCTCCTTGCTGGGACTAAGAGATGGTGGGAGAAAAGCTAGATGTGTGATTAGCATGAAGTACATGGTGGTCAGCAAGCTCTGTCCCCTCCATGTACTGCAGGCATGCCCCTGCTAGGACAGGTGACCGAGAGTGTGTGTGAGCCAGCCCAGTGAGGGTGTTCCTGGCTCCATCACCCACAGTCAGTCAGTGGAGGGTCCAGCCCAGGTGCGTCCTTTCCAGATCCCAGGGAGGTGAGAGCCTCAGGGCATGGCCCTGGAGAGGAAGAGTCTGCTGGGAGAGTTACAGGCTTGTTCTTGTTCCTTATCTGTGGTCTTCCCACCACAGCAGATTTCCCGTGTGGCCAGCAGCTCACGTCTGTGCTGTGACCTCTGCCTCACTTCCTCCTGGGTGGATAGCAGACCGGTGCACGACCTCTTCCCCCGACAGTGCTGAGGCTGGGGTTGGGACATGAACCTTTTGAAATATCCTACTTGCCCCTGTTCCCATCTTTCTTTCCCTCTGTGTCCTAGGATTTCCACACTGGGCCCCTCAGGAGCACATGTGCCCATGGCCATTCTGGCCTTGACTGTGGGGCACGGCAGGGCAGTTACAGCAGCTGGGTGGGGTTTTCTTCTGGTGGCCACTGCTCCCAAGTCTTGGGTCTCTGGGAGTCACTGGCCACTAGTGGGAGGTCACCATACTTCCAGTGATCCTGTTTCACCTGTGCAGGTGGGCGCCCCTTTTCCAGGAGGTTCCTTACCCCGTTCCTGACCTTTGGGGAGTTCAGGCAGCCCGGGGGGGGGAGCTGCACTCTCGAGGCTGTCACCTGCGCTCACGAGGTCTCTCATCACAGGCTCAGAGCCCTCACTGCAGGGTCCACAAGCCTCTGGGGGAAGAGGAGAGTTTTGTGCAGCTGTAGGATGGAATTAAAGTACTTTTAATAGCAAGGAAACAGAGGAGGTGGCGGAGGCGGCAGGCTGGTGGGAGGGAGGCTGGGACCTGACTCTGAAGGCTGAGTGCAGAGGCTAAAGACGAGGCCTTTCCTCGCCCAGGGGAGCGCCTTGATGACCGGTAACATCTTCCTGGCCCTTGTTTTGAGATCATGATGACAAGCTCTCCTAGAGCTCTTTTGGTCCCAGAAGGCAGGTTGGCTGCTGGGCACCCTTCTCCTGTCTGCCTCGCTGGGCGCCACAGAGCAGGCATCCTGCTGGGACAGCCTCTGGCTAGTGAGCAAGGCCTCTCTTCCCATGCTCTGGGGCCAGAGGTGGAGTCTTATGCCTTTGGCTTTCAGTGGGCCAGGTGAATTACCCGAAAGTAGCGGACAGCTCTTCCTTCGATGAGGACAGCAGCGATGCCTTATCCCCTGAGCAGCCTGCCAGCCATGAGTCTCAGGGCTCGGTGCCGTCACCCCTGGAAGCCCGAGTCAGCGAGCCACTGCCCAGTGCCACCTCCGTATCCTCCACTCAGGTGAGCTTACTTGTTCTAGATGCTTCCCCTGCTCCCCCAGGACTCCAGATTTGCCAGAGCTGCCCAGAGTGAGGTCTCTTGCAGGGAAGCTGAGGCCTGTTGTTATTAGGAGCCTCAGGAGCTGGCTGCTTGAGTCCCAATGGTGGGGAGGGAGATGTCAGCAGCAGGGCCCCGCTCCAGCCAGCCTCAGCCAGCCTGTCACAAGCCTCGGTGGCCCGCCCTGGGTTCGCGCATTCAGAACAGTCCATTTCTCCTGAGCATGTTCACTTCATGAATCTTTTTACCACCCTCAGTCTCTCCCTTTCTGGTGCCCTCTCCCCCTGCCACCCTGGGGGCTGCTCTTCTCATCCCCGATAGTGGTGGCATCCAAGGAGGTGACTGCCACCTACCTCTGGGCCACTTGGAGATGGCCGTGCCCTCCGGAGCAGCCAGAAACAGAGGGTGCCCTCTTCTCCCCTTCTCTCTCAGGTTGTGTCTCAACTCCCAGTGGGCCCGGATTCTGGAGAAACGCTTCTCCCGGCAGAGCAGCCTCCTCTGCCTCCCAGCCTCACCAACGGGACTGCGGCCCCCACCACCAAGCCTACCCCCACGCTCATTAAGGTACACTTCTCCAGCCCACTGCCCTCCCCTCCCTCTGCCCCGCTGAGCCCTGCTGTGACTTCATCCAGTGTGGGGACAACTGCAGGAGGTGGGCATGCATATCTTCTCCCCCTGGTCAGGGCCCAGCAAAGGTCCCTGAGGTCATGTGAGAGTTCTTCCTGTTCTCTCCATGTGCCACTGGCTGTCACAGTCATAGCCACGGTTTACTGAGCACAGTGTGCCAGACTCTGGACTGGGCTGTCCAGGCTCTTGTTCCTGCCCTCCCCATGGAGACATCCACCCACACCACCCATCTGGTCCACTGACAGCCTTGTGAGGCAGTAACAGAACCCTGTTTTACAAGCGACAAAACCGAGACGTGCAGACATCGGCCCAAGGTCACACAGCTGGCAGCGTCCGGTGTTTGTTTTTATTCCCTTCCTCCAAGCCCTCACCTGAAATACCTGAAGGGGGAAGGTTTACATCGACCCCACGAGACACCCCTGGGGACCTTTGTGTGGGGACATTGCTGGGCTCAGAGGTTAAGCTCAGCAGCACTGAGAGCTGATGCCTGTCCTCCCTGCCCTGCAGGGCCTCCTGCCCCCAGGGTCTCAGGGACCTTGGCCTGGACTGCCGCCTCCCCAGGCTGCATCTGTGCCTGCTAGGCGTGTCCCTTTCTTCCCGCTGTCACTTGCAGGGTTCCCTGTCTTGTTTTATTCTCTAGTCCGTGCAAACCTCGCCCCTGGTTGGGAATCTCTGGCCATCCGTGTTCTCCTCTTTCTGCTGTCACGGCCGCTCTAGAACCATCCAGGTTCCTGTTCTCTCACCTTGGCTGAGCCCTTGCTGTGCTACAGGGATCCCCGATGCCCTCCTGTGTGGCCCCCCTCCCCCAGGTCTGTCCTGTTTGCACTGTCTCTGCGAGGCCCTGCTGCTCACAGGAAGTTTCCTGGCTTCCCCCAGTCCCAGGGGAAGCAGTGAGCACCTCCTCCTGGGGCTGCTGGTGCTCTAGAGCACTCCGCTGGCTCTGGATGCTTCCCCATCAGGGGCACTTCTCTTGCCTCTGCAGTCTGTTCCTGATAGCCGCAGAGGTCAGAGGTTCCCCCATAAGATTCCTCCCTCAGACTTGCTCCTTGTCGCATGACTGCTGCTTGCCTTTGACCACCGCACGTCTGGAAGAATAAATGTGTGTATGTTTGTCCACTCTTCCTCTTTTCTGGGTGGCGACTCAGCCTGTGTGGGCTGGCTCCCCAGCCCCTCCGGTGAACTGAAACATCTCCTTCAAGGGTCCCTAATTCCAATCCCAGCCCCCATCTGCCTTTCATGCTCTCGGGTCACGCTCCCTCTCCACTCTTTGGCTTTCCCTTGCCTTTGTGGCTGCCCTTCCCTTCGCTTCCCATCCTCTTCCCTTTCAGTGGGTTCTTCCCGGGCCCCGCCCTCAGCCTCTGTGCTCCCTCTCTTGCACTCCACTGCTCCCGCAGCCTTGCTCTGGGTCCTCTGCGGGCCCATCTCTGTCCACTTTGGTGTTCTGTCAGCTCCAGCCTCAGCAGCTCTGCACCTTCTCCTCCCTCTTTCCATCCTCTTCGGGAAAACCAGAACCTCTTGACTTCCATGAAGGGGCTACCGTTGTCACAGTTGCCAAAGCTCAAAACCCTAAACCTTTGAACTGCTCACCTGCCACATGCTCCTGTCATCCATTCTTCCTCCAGTTAGTTAACTCTACCCAAACCTTCCCGTTGGCCCCCACTGCCACCTGGTCAAGACCCCAGCTGATCCCTGCATTGTCTCCACCTTTTTGTCTACCCTTCACTGCTCAGAACCTTCTAGGGTTTCCAGTCCTTGCCTGGCACACCCCTGCTTACTTTTGCCCTCATCAGACTCCACCCTTCCCTGCCCCAAGGACAGGCCTCACAAGCATGACCTGCTGGCCCTGCCTGGTCCTTGGTGACCCTCGAGACCATTGGGTGGCCACCCCGTGTGCCAGCAGGGAGTCTTTGGAAGCCCATTTGGTGACTAAACTTGAGCTTCTGGAGTCCTTGGTTTGGATTCCAGCTCCTTCACATGGTGAGATCAAGATCACTGTGTGACCCTGGGCAAGTGACGTCTCTGAGCCTGTTTCCTCCTTTTCAAGTAGACACACTAGTTCCTTCCTAGGCGGGGGTCTTGCTGGTCTATGTGACACGGCCTTTGTAAAGTACTAGTGTGGACCGCACGAGCTCCATAAGCCGGTGGTTTTTATCTTCTTGTCTGTTCGCTCTTTGCTCGGGGTCATGGTGACGTCTGCGTTTGGTTGATGTTCCCTCTGGGCTAGAAGCTCTTCTCAGAATTGGGCCATGCACAGCCCCCTCTGTCAGCCCTTCCTCCCTCCCTCGTACACATCTGGGCACTGATGAGGCCTCTGCTTCTGGAGGGGTACAGTCCAGCAGGGGTGAGTGGAGCAGGGCAGAGTGGTGGACGGTGCCTTCTCAGAAGCTAATCAGGCACAGTGGGAGGGCTGCCAGCCTCCCACCTGGGGGCCTCACTCTGAGAAGCCTGAGACTGCCCCCTGATGGCGCCCTCTGTCCCCTGTGTTCTCAGCAAAGCCAACCCAAGGCTGCCAGTGAGAAGTCACAGCGCAGCAAGAAAGCCAAGGAGCTGAAGCCAAAGGTGAAGAAGCTCAAGTATCACCAGTACATCCCCCCGGACCAAAAGCAGGACAAGGGGGCGCCCCCCATGGACTCCTCCTACGCCAAGATCCTGCAGCAGCAGCAGCTCTTCCTGCAGCTTCAGATCCTCAACCAGCAGCAGCAGCAGCACTATAACTACCAGACCATCCTGCCTGCCCCGCCAAAGTAGGAGCCCACCTCGGCACCGCCCCCATCCTGCCCACGGGCTCCCTGGGACAGGCACATGCCAGGGCTGGTGTGGATGAACCCCAGATCTTCAAGGCCCCTTTGGTCTGGATCCTGCAAGAGTGGTCCCCAGATGGAGCCTGCGGACAGGGCCCTCACCCCAGCCCCCTCTCTACCTCACCCTGCAGAGGCCGAGGGCGACACCTGGCAGTTGCTCATTTCTGCCTTTTCTTCCTCTCAGGCCGGCAGGTGAAGCTCTGGGAAGCAGTGGGGCCCCCCCAGTGCGCAGCCTCTCCACTACCAATAGCAGCTCCAGCTCGGGCACCCCTGGGCCCAGTGGGCTGGCACGTCAGAACAGCACCTCACTAACTGGCAAGCCGGGAGCCCTGCCTGCCAACCTGGACGACATGAAGGTAGGTGGTTGCCCCCTTCCCACTAGAGGACTTGAGCCACTGCCAGCCTGGCCTCCCATAGGGTCTGTCTGGGTGCTTGTTTTTAGGGAAAGCACCAGCCCAGGACCCATAGCTCTAGAAGGCAAAGCAGAGCTCCAGACTCAGGTCTCTTCCAGCAGAGGCACCTGGAACCTGCTCCAAGGCCTGCCTGGCCCTGGTCAGCCCTGACATCAGCCTGGTCCTTGTGGTCATTATCATTAATGACATCAGCCAACATCTGTCCAGGGCCTTGGGGCTTACCAAGCCCTTGTATGCCTCTTGTCTTCCTTGACCTGTACGGGGCAGTGTGAGAAACGGGGAGTGTTACCCCCGCCTAAGGATGAGCAGGCTTGCCTAGGGTCGCAGACCTGGCTGGTGGTAGAGCCCAGATTCAGACTCAGGGCTAATTTCAACACCCCCACCTTTTCCACTCTGCCAGTTAACTCGCCACCAGATCTGCTGTACAAGTGCTGTGTCTGCCAGGGAAGAGGGTGGGGTCATGCCTGGGCCTGGCCTGTTTTCAGAAGGTGGAATGGGCCAAAATCTCCCTCCGGAGCTTGTCCTTTGAACCAGGCTAACTCCTCTTGAGAGATGACCATATCCCATCACGTCAGTTCTTGTGGGGGCAGCTGGGCACGGGCTCGGAGTCCGTCAGACCTGAAGTTAACTCCTAGCCCTGTCGCTCACTAGCTGTGGATCTTGAAGAAGTTAGTTTCCTTTTGTGAGCTCAGTTTTCTCATCTGCACAATCCAGTCAGTCCTAATAATTGAGCACCACACCCCATGCTGGGGCTGGGGACAGCTGAGGGCGTGTCGTGCCCAGACACGGGGTTAGGGGATGTTTTAACTAGGCCCTGGTGTGGTGAGGATGGGGAAAGGTTGGAGGCTGGGCCTGGGGGACATATACCTCCCCGTCCAGGGCTGTGGGAAGGTCAGGAGGTTGATATCTCTGAATTGGCTAGTGGGGCCCGGATGGAAGAGGCCTGACAAACAAAAAGCTCATCCCTCTCATCCTCCCTGATTGTCCTCCTGCCTGGACCCAGTCACCTTAGTTTGTCCCCCTGCTGCCCTGACTCTCGACCCCCCTGCAGGTAGCAGAGCTGAAGCAGGAGCTGAAGTTGCGCTCACTGCCTGTCTCAGGCACCAAGACAGACCTGATTGAGCGCCTGCGTGCCTACCAAGAACAAGCCAGCCCTGCCCCGGGAGCCCCCAAGGCTCCTGCCGCCCCTTCCATCCTGCCCAAGGCTGGCGAGGTGGTGGTAGCCTTCCCAGCCACCCGGCTAAGCACAGGGCCTGCCCTGGTGGCAGCAGGCCTGGCCCCAGCCGAAGTGGTGGTGGCCACGGTGACCAGCAATGGAGTGGTGAAATTTGGCAGCACGGGCTCCACACCCCCCGTGTCTCCCACCCCCTCAGAGCGCTCACTGCTCAGCACAGGCGACGAGAACTCCACTCCTGGGGACACCTTTGGTGAGATGGTGACATCGCCACTGACCCAGCTCACCCTGCAGACCTCACCACTGCAGATCCTTGTAAAGGAGGAGGGCACCCGGGCCGGGTCCTGCTGCCTAAGTCCTGGGGTGCGGGCAGAGCTGGAAGGACGTGATAAGGACCAGATGCTGCAGGAAAAGGACAAGCAGATCGAGGAGCTGACCCGCATGCTCCGGCAGAAGCAGCAGCTGGTGGAGTGGCTCAAGCTGCAGCTGGAGCAGGAGAAGCGGGCCCAGCAGCCTGCGCCAGCCCCATCCCCCACCCCGGCCCTGGTCACTCTTGGCCCCCCAGTGAAGCAGGAGAACAGCTTCTCCAGCTGCCAGCTGAGCCGGCAGCCCCCGGGCCCTGCTCACTCCTTCAGCCCCAGCCTGGCAGCCTCCACTGCCCACCATGCAGACACTTGTGCCCTGGTGCCCCCGGCTGTGGTGGTGAAGCAGGAAGCCGTGCTACCCGAGCCTGAGCCGGCCCCCACCCCCCAGCTGCTTATGGGCCCACAGGGCCCCGGCCTCATCAAGGGGGTCACACCTCCCACCCTCATCACTGACTCCACAGGGACCCACCTTGTCCTCACCGTGACCAATAAGAATGCAGACAGCCCTGGCCTGGCCAGCGGGAGCCCCCAGCAGGTACCTGGGTGTGAGAGGGGCAGGGGCCACAGGAGGGTGTGGAGATACTTATAATGACAGCCCTGGTTACCACGTGTCCTCATGGCTGGGCAGGCTATGCTTGCTTCCTTTAGTCTTCCCTTCAGCCCTACAAAATGAGAGGTCACCATTTTCATGTCACCAAGGAGGGTACTGAGACTTGGGAAGCTTAAGGGGCCTGCTCAAGAACCCACAGCCATGAGGGTCTGGCCATTGATATCAGAACATTTGTGTACCTGGGTAGAGGGTTCCTGAGCAGCCCCCACCCAGGCCGGGCCCTTTCCTCCCTCTGCGCCATGGGGGTGGGACAGGGCCCAGGTAAGAATCAGGGGAGCCCCTGCCTGAGGGAGGCTGTGGGCCTGGCTCTCTTGCCCAGGAGCCAGCGGGGGCCACCAGGCTGAGTCTGGTTCTAGCTCCACTCCTCCCCCTCCCCTCAAAGAGGCCAGCTGTCCCCCACCAAGGTGTCATTGGCAACTGGCTCTCTGCTGCTGACACCCTCATAGCCCAGACCCTCCACCCAGCCTGCTCCAAGGGTGAGGCCGCTTCAGGCTTTGTGTGGCCTCAGCCCTGTGGAGCTTGGGGTGGAGGGGACAGTGACAGGAACCAGGCACTTTAGGAAGAGAGATGGGACTCCTGAGCAGCCTCAGGCAGAAAGGGAGGAGAGGGGGAGTCAGCCCAGGGCCCCTCCCTCGCCCTCACGTGGCTTGTACAAAACCCCAGGCAGCCAGTCACCCCATGCCTACCCTACTCTCTGCAGGGTCAGAGGTCAGGGTCTCCCCTATCCTGTATCCCCAACTCCACTGGCTTCCATGAAAGCTTCTTGGAAGCCAGCATGGCTAGCAAAGTTGTTCTGGCCCAGAAGGTAGGTGCCTCCCCCTTTGCTCTCCCAGAGTGTACGGGGCCCTGGGTCGCTTCCCTGACCCCGCCCCTGGTTCTCTGACCGTTTTCCTGTCTAGCCCTTGTCCCAGCCTGGTTCTCCAGCCCCTGGCCCACCAGCCCAGATGGACCTGGAGCACCCAGCACAGCCCCTCTTTGGGACCCCCACTTCTTTGCTGAAGAAGGAGCCGCCTGGCTATGAGGAAGCCGTGAGCCAGCAGCCCAGACAGCAGGTGAAGAAGGTAGACTGGAGCCTGGCTGGGGTGGGGGCTGCCTAGGCTGCTGGTCTGGGCTCCCACAGGCCCCCAGGGTCCTGCTGGAGGGTGGGGGCGGGCAGGAACCAGTCTCATAGGTAAAGAGGCCTTGGGGGCGGGTCATTATGGGTCAGCGTGCCAGGGCCTGGCCCAGCAGAGTGAGTGTGGCTCTGGGAGCTTGAGCACAGGCCGGTGGGGTCTGCAGGTCTGGCTGCTAGCTCAAGGGCAGAAGGAAGGGTTTATGCCCTGAGCCAGGCTGGGGGCCTCCTGTTCTAGATTTTCATCTTTTTTTCCTATTTTTGTCTCACAGGAGAATGGTTCCTCGAGCCAGCAAATGGATGACCTGTTTGACATTCTTATTCAGAGTGGAGGTAAAGCCCAGACCCCCGAGCTGCCACCCCACCTCCTCCTTTCTTCATAGGTTGTCTCCGGTCCCGGGCTGGTCGATGGATTGGTTTTTGTTTAGTTATTGAACACTTCATGGGTGTCAGGTCTTGTACTTTGCACATAGCAATGGCTGAGATGCATACGTCTCCAGGGCCTGGGCGAGAACACCCGTGGGGGCTGCAGCCCTCAACAAACAGTTGCTTTAGCCAGCGCCCACTGTGTGGGGCGCTCTGCCCGCAGCCTGGATGGAGCAGTGAGCAGGATAGAGACGTTCACCTTGTGGAGCTCACAGTCTAGCGTGGGGAGGTGAATGTAAGTAAAATAGGTAAATAAGAGGAAGTGCTGTGAAAAGCAGGGAAGGGTCTCAGATGCATGGGGGGTGGTCAGAGTCGGTCTCATTGAGCAGGTGCAGACTTAGCCATGGGCATCCCTGGGGGAGCACCCAGGGCGCCCGGGAGGGCAGGGCCGGGTGTGTTGGAGGAGTGGAGTGAGTGTAGGAAGGGAGCGGGTTGGGCGAGAAGTCAGAGGCTGCAGCAGACCCCGAGGCCTGTGCATGTGGGACGGAGGGGCCCTGAGTCTGGAAGCCCTCGCACAGCTTTGAGTGGAGGATCGGCCAGCTGGAAGGGTGGGAGCCGGGGGAAGCAACTGTAGTGATCCAGGCCAGAGGCCAGGGTGCCCGGACCTGGGAGGGAGCAGAGAATTGGAGAAGGGCTGGAGTCGGGTATATTTTGGAGAAAGCACGTTGTATTTCCTTATGGATTAGGCATGTGATGAGAGGACCAGAGGGCAGCCAAGGGTGACACCAAGGGTCTCAGCCTGAGTTACCTGGATGCAGCATGAGGCCGAGGGAGCTCCAGTGGGGCATGTGGGGGGCACAGCAGGGCAGCCTCTGTCAGCCTGACCTATGTCCCAGGGCAGCCCGGGCAAGGTCAGGGCTGAAGGCAGGAATTAGGGAGTCGCTGGCATCTAAATTGGCACTGGGAGCCGTGATGTTGGGTGAGCAGAGAGGAAGACGAGGTGGAGGCAGGGGCACAAGCAGGTGAGGCTGAGCAGAGGGTGGGAGAGTGAAGTCCTGAAGCCAAGGGCTGCTGATGAGCGGTCAGGGAAGACAGGGACCAAGAACTGGCCATGGGCTTAGCATTGTGGTGGCCGTCGATGACCTCAGCCAGGGTGCCGCACTGGGACTGTGGGCCTCTGCCTGCTGGAAGCCAGTTGAAGTGGGGCTGGGGTGAGGGAGGTGGCAAGTCTGGACAGCTCTCTGCAGAGGGCTCCCTGTGGAGGGGAGCAGGGAGCAGCATGTCATGGGAGGCCTGGGGGGAGGCCCTGCGTGTGAGGAGGGTGCAGGGTTGGGAGGGTTGGCTTCCGGTGGGGGCAGGCAGGGAGGCAGAGTGTGTGGAGGCTCCCTTCTGAGTGCTTTCATCCTGTCAGTGGGGAGAGGGTGAAATGAGATGGTACGGGTAAAGTGAGAGCTCAGCCATGGAACTGTACCCTTGAAAATGGTAAATTTTACCTCCATTTTTTAAAAAAAAGTTCAGTAGATGTTACTCTCGAGGTCATCACTTCTGATCTTAGGGAGGCTCCCTGGATTCCAGGGTCTACCATGGGGCTTCAGTGTGTTTCTCACAAGTGCAGGTGGACTGAGGCCGCTGGGCCGGGAGGTGCTCAGGGGCAGGTGGAGAGACTGGCCTGGAGCTCAGGAGAGAGACCTGGCTGAGAGTTCGGGAGCTCCCAGTGTCTAGACAGGAACTGACACTGGGAGGGAGGTGGCAACCCCGGAAGAGAGACTGTGCAAGCAGCTCTCGGAGAGGGAGCAGGCCTGGAGCTCTAGCACTGAAGAGATGGCAGAGAGGGGGAGCTGGGGGTGCTGCCTGCCCCCAGAAGGACACTGAGAAGTGGCCAGAGAGGTGGCAAGGATGCCAAGGGAAGGGGGCATCTGAACAGCATGGGTGGGGCCAACAGTGTCCCTGGTGGTGACAGTTGGGCAGGTTGGCGGGTCATGACGGGGAGGGAGCGGTTGTCTGGTGAGAGCAGCATGTCCAGCTGGGACAGAAGCAGAGCAGGAGGGACAGGACTTAGAGGGTCAGGAAGCAAGCCTGGCTTCTACATAATTTTTTTTCCTTGTGGTAAAATATACATAAAATTTGCCGTTCTAACCATTTTTCAATGTACAATTCAGTGGCATTACGTACATTCACAGTGTTGTGCAACCATCACCACTACCCATTTCTAGAACTTTTTCATCCTTCTATACTGACACTCGTTACCCATTACACACTAACTCTGTGCATTCCTCCCTTCCCCCTAGTGCCTGGTAACCTCTGTTCTGCTTTTTGTCTCTGAATGTGACTGTTCTAGGTGCCTCATATAAGTGGAATCATATAGTATTTGTCCTTTTGTTTCTGGCTTATTTCACTTAGCATGGTGCCCTCAAGGTTCATCCATGTTGTAGCATGTGTCACAATTTCCTTCCTTTTTATGGCTGAGTAATGTTCCATTGTATGGATATGCAACATTGATCCATTCGTCCATGGATGGACACTTGGCTTGTTTCCACCTTTTGGCTGTCAGGAGTAAGGCTGTTATGAACACACATGTACAAGTATCTTTTTGATTCCATGCTTTTGCTTCTTTTGGGTATATACCCAGAATTGGAATTAATGGATCATATGGTAATTTTATATTTAACTTTTTGAGGAACATAAAACTGTTTTCCACAGCAGCTGCTCCATTTTCATTCATACCAAGAAGGCACAAAGGTTCTGATTTCTCCCTGTCCTCACCAACACTTGTTCTTTTCAAATTTTTTTATAATAGCCATCCTGGTGGGTGTGACGTGGTATCTCATTGTGGTTTGATTTGCATTTCCCTGATGACTAATGATGTGGAGCATCTTTTCATGTGCTCATAGGCTATTTGTATATCTTCTAAGGGAAAAATGTCTGAGTCCTTTGCCCATTTTTCAGTTGGGTTTTGTTGTTGAGTTGTAGGAGTTCTTTATTCTGGATATGAATCACTTATCAGATACATGATTTGCAAATATTTTCTCCCATTCTGTGGGTGGTCTTTTTCACTCTCTTGATAATGTCCTTTGATGCACCAAAGTTTTAAATTTTTATGTAGTCCCATTTATCTATTTTTTCTTTTGTTGTGTGTGTTTTTGGTATCATAACCAGGAAATCATTACCAAATCCAATGCCATAAAAGATATTCTCCTGTTTTCTTCTTAGAGGTCTGTAGTTTTAGCTCCTAAAGTTAGATCCTTGATCCATTCTGAATTAATTTTTGTACATGGTGTAAGGTAGGGGCCAACTTCAGGTCCTGTTCAGGCCTAGTTTCTGACATCCATTCATTTTCTTGACTGGCAGAAATTTCAGCAGATTTCAAGGAGCCACCATCCCTGCCAGGGAAAGAGAAGCCCCCGTCGACAGCGGCATGCGCGTCACCCCTGGCCGCACAGTCTCCACCCTCCGCTGAGCTCCCCCAGGCTGCCCCGCCTCCATCAGCCTCCCCTGCCCTCCCTGGGCGCCTGGAGGACTTCCTGGAGAGCAGCACGGGGCTCCCCCTGCTGACCAGCGGGCACGAGGGGCCAGAGTCCCTCTCCCTCATTGATGACCTCCACAGCCAGATGCTGAGCAGCTCTGCCATCCTGGACCACCCCCCCTCCCCCATGGACACCTCGGAATTGCACTTTGCCCCTGAGCCCAACAGCGTGGGCCTGGACCTGGCTGACGGCCACCTGGACAGCATGGACTGGCTGGAGTTGTCGTCGGGTGGCCCCGTGCTCAGCCTGGCCCCGCTCAGCACCACGGCCCCCAGCCTCTTCTCCACAGACTTCCTCGATGGCCACGACCTGCAGCTGCACTGGGATTCCTGCTTGTAGCTCTCAGGCTGCAGAGCCGGGGGACGGGCAGGCCTGGAAGTTGGGGAGCCTCAGGAACTCTTCGGAGCTCTCCTCTCTGCTGCCTGCCCAGCCTCTGCGCGTGGTCGTGAGTCCTGACAATCACGGGCCTTGCTTCCCCTCCCTGGGAGGCCGGAGCAGGGCGTCCCTACACCTGGCTCAGGCTCACTGAGGAGAGGAGTTGCCGAGCAGCAGCTCTGGGTCCCCTCCGGGGTCTGGGAGGCCCGCACAGACCAGGGGCAGTCTACCTGACCTCCTTGTGTGAGGTCGGAGGTGCAGTGTCTGGCTGCAGTTTGCTCAGGCAGGTGAGGCCCAGGGCTGAGGCGAGGGCGCGAATCTCCTTCCTTCTCTCCCCGCTTCCCTGCGAGGGAAGAAACTAGCTGGGCCTCCACCTCTCCGTTCCCCATGATGCCAACCCCCAGGCTCCCAGGTTCCCTGGGAGGGGGCTCCCTGCCATTTTAGTGTCTTGAGTAGTGTAACCCTTTAGTAGTTGGTGGAAACGTTTTCTGTACAGGTGTATATACCTCTATATTATATATCGCCATACATATATATGCATATATTTTTGGGGTGGGAGGTGGCTGCAGCTCCCTCCCATCCTACTGTGCACATAGTGGGGCTGGACGCCGCTTACCCGGCCCCACCCATCACGTGTGTTTGACATGTAGACACCCCGCCACAGCCTGTACCCCACCTGTCCTGCTTCCTGCTCCTTATCAGTGCCACGAGGGCAGACATGCTTCCTGGCCACCTGCCCACATTCCGTCCCACTGCCTCACTGCAGCCACCAAGGCCCTGGGACAGAAGGGATGTTGGCCCCGTGGTGGGGCAGAGGTGGCCCTCAAGCTGTGGCCTCCTCCTGCCTCGGGCCTGGCCTCCCTTCTGGCCTGTCACTCATAAAGGATTAGGGATGGCGTCACCAAAACCAGTGCTGGGAGCGAGGTGGGAAGCTGTGTGGACTTTTTAAAATAAAAAACAAAAACACCGACTCAGTAGTCCATCTTGTTCAACCCACTGAAGAGGTGGGTGGTACGGCTAGGGCCTGAGGCATTCTAGCATCTGGGGGTCACCTCCCCGACCTGGCTGTGCATTCTAGACCATTCCAGGAAGGGCAGAACCTTGGATAAACAGCTGTACAGCCCTGACTGGACAGAAAATAGAAGGTGCTTTCTCAAAGACACTATTTATTTACAAAGCAAAAAGGCCAAGGATCCTTTAGCCACCCCCATTCCTTTCCTGAGCAAAAACTGACAGAAAAGAGGTGGCTCCCACCTCGGGAGATTTCTGGTCAGTACCAACAGTGGAGTTGGGGTCCGCGGCCTCCGTGAAGACCCTGGCTGCCCTCCCCCTGGGGCCAGGAGAGCAGGCTGAGCTGGGCCCTGCCCTCCAGCGACGCTCTGGGGCACCCAGGGCCATGTCCCCAGTCTCCCCCCATGGCGCCCGGCCAGAGCTGCAGTGTCTCCTTCACTTGACCCCAGAGCCTGGGCCGGACCTTGGCCACCTCATCCAGAGACTGGCCAGGGCCATGCTGTTCTCCTGTTGCCTGAGGAAGGGGCCGCCCTGTAGCCGACGGGTTGGGGGAGGCCTCGGCATGACAGGGCCGCCGGAGGAAGACCGTCAACCATCTATGTCCCAGCTGAAAAGGTGGTGCTTCACCAGCATGTCCTGGACACCCTCCTTCAGGGGCTGCTTCTCCTCCTGCACACAGGACAGGCCCTCACTGTCATGAGCACACGGCAGGGGTGTTGGGGCACAAAGCAAGGAAGCCCAAGGTGGCAGGGCCAGAATGGTTCTACAGGCGATGCCAGCACTCAGGGTCTCCATGGGACCCTGCCTCAGCCACCCAGGAAGTGTTTGGGGTGATCTGCCAGCAGAGACACCTGGCCTGCCCACCCCCCAGCCCCCTGAGGGGAAGGCACGCTGCCCAGCCAAGCACCACCCCCAACCACCCACCTCTCTCTTGGCAGGAAGTTCCCAGTCCTGGGAGAGGCTGAAGGCGAAGCAGCAGAGGACGCTGCAGGGGGAGGGGGGAGGCTGTCAGTCGCCCTCAGGAGGCTCTGTCCCGCCCCTCCCCCCGACCCAGGCCACAGGTCGGGGCTCCAGAAACCCAACACTGGTGACAGAGTCCTTACCGGAGCTCACATTTGATCTGGACCCAGCCGGGGCTGCGCAGGAAGGACCAAGGCTGGTACCACTTCTCCACCGTCGGCAGGCTGGAGCAGAGCACCTCCAGCCACAGGTGCAAGACCTGCTCGCTGGGGACAGGCGGGGAGGAACAGCCGTCCACGGGGTCGTCTGAGACGGTGGGTAGGCTCCGCCCTCCATGCTGGACTGGGCCCCTAGACTCCGGGGCTCCTCCGACCCCACCCCCACCCCTTTCCCTCCACTTGGCTGCCTCCTCAGGCAACCCCACCTCCTCCACTCAGCCAGCTCTCACAGAGTGGCCTTGCTCCTCTCCTCCACACTGGGAGACACGCTCAGGGGCCTGCTGTCCCCATGGCTCCCACTCCCCTCAGTTCCGTCACAGCTCTTTCCTCGCTGTGTCTGAGACTCAGCCACTGCCTCCCTCTGCGCACAGGGGCCTCAGCCCAGCCGGTCAGTCCAGGAGCGAAGTGCACACTTCCCAGCCTGGCAGGCCCCATGGCCACGTTCGAGCTAGTCTCAGGGACCTTTGCCCCTCTGCAAACCCTGCCTCTGCCAGGTGGCAGACCCAGAAGCATCATGTGCACCCTGTCCCAGGCTGAGTCTCACCCATGCCTGAGTTGCCCTCAGGCAGGCCCCCTCCCTAGGGTGCTGTGGAGCCTCCTTCCTGGTGAGCCCCTTCAGCCGTCATCCTGCCGGTGTGTGTTCATGAAACTCCGGAGAGCCTTGGCCTGCCCGGAGCCGTGGCTGGTCCCACACTGGAGGAAGCCCTCGGGGAGCCGCCCTTGCTGCCTTCTCTGTCTATCGAGCTCCTGGGCCACGAAGGCCCAGCTCACAGGCACCCCGCGCTCCCCCAGGGCCGTAGCCTAGGCTGCCACTCATCTGACTGTGGGCTGCTCTGGGCCCAGAGCGGGTGCAGACACTCACTTGAGCCCCACACAGATAAGGGAGCGGAGCTTGACATCCATTTGCGCGTGTGCAGCATCATGGGTCACATTGACGGACTGCACAGCCTGGGAGGGCACAGCTGTCACTCAGGTGCCCCCGGCTGCCAAACCAGGAGGCCTGCCCCACCCACTGCCCGCTTACCCGGTAGAGCAGCTCCTCCGGGGTCAAGACTTTGCCGTCTTCATCCAACCTGAGGGGAGACCAAAGCTGCCAGTGCTGCCCTGGTGTGCCAGGCTGGGCCGCTCCCTCCCTGCACCAGGGCTGCCAGGAGACCCCGCCAGGAGGACGCCAGGCTGGGGGCTGGTTACCTGTATGTCTTACACAGCACTAGGCGTGAATACACGGAGTCGAAGTCTCTTTCCACCTCCCGGCCGGCCGCCTGGGGGACAGGGGATGAGTGTCAGGGACAACAGGATAGGTACCAGGTCAAAGCCACAGGGTCCAACTCAGTGCACATCACCACTTGATGAGCTCCTGTGCCAGCTCCGTAGGACCATGGGGGACATGAGTCCAGCCACTGACCTACCTCCTCGATAAACAACCAGGGGTGGCAGGCACCCCCAAGGAGGGATGGCTTCTTCAGTCCATGTTCAAACAGGGCCTTGAGGGCTGGGCAGAGGGTCCCTCGAACAAGGTCAGTGACCGCCTCTGTCACAGCGTCGTCCCCGGCGACGGAGTACTGGTGGTGGGCAATGAGGTCTGAGAGGCAGCCAGGCCCCCCCTCCCCATCCGCAGTCACTGCTGCAGCCAGTGCACGCTCGGGACCCAGGCCCTGGCTAGGAGGGTGCAGGCCTCGCCAGGTCTAGGCAGCAGCATCAGCTCCCAGGGACAGCCGGGCCCACGTGCCCTCTTACCTCTTTGCTCCGTTCATCCAGGACTTCCACAAACTTGGCTGGAAACCAGCCTGCGGGAGAAGCAGGGCCCTGTGAGGAGTGGACAGCCTGGTGTCCTGATACTTCCCCCCACGGGGCTGAGGACACAGAGCAAGCCCGCCCATTCCTGCTGAGGGCGAGGAGATGGGGGTGGTAAAGGGCGCCCAGCTTCACTGTCCAGCCCGCCTCCCACCACAGCTCGAGACTAGAGGGAGGCCTCACCTCTCAGGCCATTCAGCTCCCCGACCCAGCAGTGCTCATCCTTCTGGGAAATGATCTGCAAGGAGGAAAAGTGCAGGAAGCAAAGCTCCGGTTGTCCAAGCGCAGTGCCTCACATGCCATCAGGTTTTGTCCCCAGCCAGGCCATCAGAAGCTTTCGGCAGGGAGGAGGTTCAGGGGAGGAACCCCCTCGCAGCCTCAGGGCCAGCAGGGGCAGGCAAATGGCGCTGGCTCCCAGCTCCCAGGGCCCCCCTGCCACTGAGCGCCCCCATCCTGGGCCCGAGCCGTGGTCTGCGGACGCCCCGAGCCTCGCCCCACGCACCGTGATGATGTCATTCTTGCGGAAGCCCAGCTCATCGTCATCGTGTCGCTCAAAGTCCAGCAGGGCCTTGGCCCGGCGCCGGTGGCTGCGTGAGCATGCCACGTAGTTCTCGTGGTCTCGCTGATGGCTCTCCATGCTGTAGTCGGGGGTCAGCTCCTGCCAGAGCAGCACAAAGGCCCACCAAGGGGGAAGCGCCTCAGCCCAAGGCCCCCGTCCTCGCCAGGGCCTTGGGACCTCAGGATAGGGCTGGGGAAGGAGAGCCCCCAAGTCGAGCCATCGCACATAGGCCTGGGAGCCCGTGACTCACCACACTACAGTTTTTGGGGTCTGTGCACTGGAAATGGCGTGCCACGCGCAGAATGGCTTCCCGGAGATCAGCCACCAGTTCCGTCTGCTTGATGTTCTTAGCCTTGAGCGCCTCCAGGTCGTCCTCCCCTGGGAAGCCCAGAAAGTTGTGGCAGCCATGGCCCCTGCCCACCCCCTTGCCAACTCTGAGGAAGCTCAGAGTCCACACCAGGTATGAGGACTGACAGGCCCTGGTCTCCACCCCCACACCGCCCCCAACTATGGCGTTGAGCATAGTGAGCCTGGACTCGGCTGGCGGGGAAGGAGCCGCTGAGCTCAGCCCAGTGCCCGGCTCTCACCAAAGAGCAGTGAGGTGATGCCAGACTTCCTCCGCTGGGTCCTGCGCCGAACAACCTGCAGGCAGGGAGAGGGGTCAGCGGCAGCCCAGGCACCCGGCCAAGCGGAGGAGGCATCCAACGAAGCCCTCCCACGCGGAGGCCCGGTCCAGCCTCATGCTCAGGCAGCCGCATCTAAAACGGCCTCTGAGGGTCAGAAATGCACTGTCAGTTCAAAGCTGGGTCTGTCTTGCACTAAAACCAGGCCGGTCACAGCAAAGAGGCACGAAAGCCAAGGCAGCAGGTGCTGCCTGGGACAGGGGCAGCAGAGCGGGAAGGGCTGATGGGCTCCCTGTGGCCTCTTACTTGGGGCCTCCTCCAGGGAATCCGCCCCCTAGCTCTGGGTGAGGTGGGGCCTCCTCCCTCAGGCCCACCTGAGAGAGGCTGGTGGTGGCGCTGGTTCCCAGGAGTGGGCCCTGGTCTGCAATGAGGTAGGCCAGATGCTTGCGGCGCTGGGTCTCCACGGCCACATCGGTGAGGCAGCCAGCCAGCTGCATGGCTTCCCCCAGCAGCAGCTCTGCGTCCTGGATCTGTGATGGTATGTCTGAGAGCGTGTTGAAGATGGAGGCCGAGTTCTCGGACTGGATCAGCTCCTCCTCCTGGGCCATGCAAGAGAAGGAGTGAGGAGAGGGGGTGTTACTGCCAGGTGCCAGGCCCGTGAGCTGACCCCAATCACCATCAATCAGGCACTTGTGACTTCTCTGGATGATCAGGCTGAGCACAAGGAGTTGTGACCCCAGGAGACCCCCCACCAGGGGCCTCTCAGGAAGGGCCAGTGGTCAGGCCACATGATGCTCAAGCCTGGACCCCACTGTTTCCCCCAGGGGAGGGGCACCAGGACAGCTGTGTCTGGCACACAGGGCTCCTATTCTTCAGCTGGGAAGCTGGGTGGTGTGGCCCTGGGGTGGACAGGGGGCTGCAGCAGCACCTTGAGGCGCAGCATGCCCAGAGTGGTCTGGAACAGCACCAGGGAGCCCTCGTAGAAGAACAGGTCCCAGAGGCGCAGCAGCAGCCTGATGTGCACGACGCTGGCGAAGGCCGTGAGGAACCAGTGCAACGTGATCAGGGACAGCTCTGTGGACACAGACCACAGCCCTGCGGCTGGGACCAGGGCTGGCTGGCATTGGACAGCTTGGAAAAGGGGTGTCCCCCAGGCACACGAGCTGAGGAGGAGGTGGAGGGTAGCTCCCCCAAAGCAGCAAGAGGCCTTGTGTGCTCCCAGGGGAGAGAGGAGACAGGGTGTCAGGGAATGTCCAAGCACAGGAGAGCAACGAAGACTGCGTGTGCCGGCTCCATGCTCGGCCATCGTCAGACGAGCTCCTTCTTCCTCCCAAGACAGCCAGAGCCCTGGCCTCTGCTGCTGCGTCTGCAGGCCTCCGATCTGCAGGATCTGTGCCCGTCTCAGGACCCCTTGACCCTAGAGAAGGGTCTGGGTGCTGGCCCTTACCGATGTCATGCTCCTGGAGCAGCTTGTCCAAGCGAGGCAGGTACTGGACGATGAGGTGGCGCAGGACCCGCTGGTCTGTCTGGACACCCAGCAGGGTGGTGCTGAAGTAGGAGGCAGGGAGCAGGTCCTCGATGATGGCACACATCATCCAGAAGGCATCCTCCTCCTCCAGGAACAGCAGGAGGCAGGCGGCCACCTGGCCAGGGCAGGGGGACAAAAGGCCTCGACCCAGGTCTCCATGAGAATTAGAAGAGGCACCCTCCTCTGGGGGTCCCATCATAGACCGCATGCCTTCCTCGGGGATGGAACTGCCATATTTGGCAGCCCCAACCTCCTTCAGGACTCCTACCTCCTTCCCCACCTCTCGTCCTACTACCTGGATGGCGGGATCGTTCACCACTGGGAGCCTGGAGGACACCCGGGGGACACCCCCACCCCTTTCCAGGCGGTGCTCACCATGCCCGTGCCCTGGCAGTAGCCAATCTCCGGGTAGAGCCAGGCCAGTGCTCGGAGGACCCTGCGCAGGCGGGGCACCCCGATGCTGCTCACGTTGGCGAAGCAGGCGTTGCTGGGCATGGTGCGGAGCAGGTCCTTCTCAATCTGTCACAGCGCACCCACAGTGAGACCCTGTGAGACACAGCTGCAGGCCTGCGGGCCCACACCCTCCACACTGCTGACACCTGAGACCCCTGCGAGGGAGGCTGAGAGACCCCTTTGTGGGGCAAACCCCAGGCAGGCTTCTTACCCAGGAATGGGGATTCCTCATGCTCCGGGTCAAAGTGACCCTCCAGCCTTCAGGATTAGATTCCAGTTACCACGTAGCTGATCCCACCAGATTCACCACAGAACTTATAAAAATAAAGTTACAGGTCCCTGGGGCTCAAGCCAGAATGAGAATCTCTGAAGCGAGGCCTGGAAATCTGTATTTAAAATCTCTAGGTGGTCCTAATATGCACTCAAGTTAGGTGACCCTTTTGACAATTCTCTCTGCTGCCTACAGAGGACCCAGGAGGGAGCAAGCTTGTTCTGACAATATGTTTGCGGGTGAAACGATTGCCCATGGCTGCCACACGGCTGCCGTGCTCTCTCACGCCACCCCTGCCAAGGGCGGGTTCTGGTAACCCCAGGCAGCCCACTGCCGTCCTGTAGGTCCACAAAGTTTCTGGGCAGAAAGCGCTTCCCGAAGGGCGCCCCGCACTGCCCTGGCCTCACCTGTTTGGCAGCAATGGTCTCGTCGTTGGAGCTGTTTTTCACAATCTCTCGGTAGGACAGCTCGGAACCCCTCTTCTTCTGCAGGGCCCCGGAGAGCCGCATCCACAACTGAGGGGGAGCCAGCACGAGCACTCAGTCTCTCAAGGCACATCTGAACCCTTTTGGCCCTCTGCGGGTCCCTCTGGCCACCTCACCTGGGGCCTCATGCTGTGTGGGATGCCAGCCAGCACCAGGGAGCGAAGCTTCTCAGAGCGGGGTAGGGAGACAGCAATCTTGTCCCAGGTGAGATCCCCCACGTCATGATTATGGGTGAACTCCAGGTGGGCCTGCCACCGCAGCCTCTGTGGAGGGTCCTCCATCAGAGACACACCTGGCAGCTTGCTGGAACTGGGGTCAGCACCATCTGCCAGGAGAGAGTGAGCCCAGGGCCGCAGGGGTGAGCACAGCAGGAAGGAAACGACTCCTCACTGCACGTTCTCCCAAACAGAGGGCCCTGGGCTTCAGCTCCAGCGATCTCGCGACCAAAACCCAGAGCCGCATTTCCAACAGCTTCTGTGGCTCCAGCTGCACGTTCCACAGGCATCCCGACCAGCAAACCCGAGCTCTTCACTTTCTCCCCCAAACCCGCCCCTGCCGCAGTCTCCCAGATCCATCGACCCCCCTCCATGCTCCAGATGCTCAGGCACCTTCAGCTCCTCCCCCACTGAGACCCCATGTCCAACCCATCAGCAAATGCCGCAGGCTTTGCCTTCAGAGCACAGGCACAATCCCGCCACTGGTACTACCTCGGACAGTGCCCTAGTAGGAGCCATCATCCTTCGTCTGGATCACCCCCACAGCCTTCTCCCTGGCCCATTTCCACCCCTGCCTCCCAAAGGCTATTCTCCACACAGCAGTCAGGGTGGCCCTTCCCAGACAGTCAGATCATGTCACTCTGCTGGGAGCCCTCTAGTCCCACCTGCCCACCTCAGGTGCAAAGCCAAAGGCCTTACAGGGCTCGGTGCCCCGCCTCCTCGTGGCCCACCCCCTCCTTGTCCTCATCTCCTACTATGCCACTCTGGCTCCCTCCACTCTGCTATTTCCCACCAGACCCACCCCCACTCAGGCCTCCGCACTTATTATTCCCCTTCCTTGGCTCCCCTCACTGCTTCACTTCCTCCTAGTTTCTGTTCAAATGTCTCCCCCTAGAAGCTTCCTTCACCACCTTATGTACAATCCACCACCCTCTTCGCTAGTCCCTGAATTTCTCCACAGCTCCTCTTGCCCCCAGCACTTATTTGTTTGGCCCTTTGGTTTTGTTCCAGGCACTGGGAGGCAGCAGTGGAGAGCACATAACCCACAGTCGGCCTCCTGAAATGCTTGCGCGAACGCCAACAAGGCTCTTGCAGCCACCAGGCAAGCAAGGTGCTAGTGGCCCCACAGCCAGCCTCGTCCCTACTCATCCTAAAGCCACGCCCTCAGCCTCAGCTTTCTAAAGCTTCTCCTTTCCTGAATTTACATACAGTAAAATGCACAAATTTTAAGTGTACACTTCAGTGAGCATCAATACACCAACGTCTAAACATCATTCCCATCAAGACAGAGAGTACTTCCATCGTGCTAGAAAGCTCCCAGCATTCCTCTCAGGCCCAGCTTTTAACTTCCAAATATCTGTCTGCAAACTAGAGGACAAGGGAAACTTCTGTCAGAACTGGAAACACAAGTGATCCGAGGACAACTGGTTTCAGCCAATTAAAATCTCCCAGTCACAGTCAGATGCTGGGACAGGCACCCTGGGTTCTGGCAGATGGCTTTCCCATCTCGGGAACCAACAGGTGTATGTATAGTAGAAAACAATGGAAATGGCTTAGAGGCCCACTTATAGAATGGTTATAAAAAGATTTTGATAAACCCATTATAGTGGGATATCATGCAGCCACTGAAAAATAGGCTTTTAAAGAGTTCTTAACTGACAGAAAAAATGCTCGTGGTATAATGTTAAGAGATCTAAGAGCAATATGAAAACGTGTATATGAGATAGTCTTAGTTATGAAAGCAAATACCGATACAAAGCCAGGAAAGGAATACACAAAAACGTCAGCAGTTATCTTCAGGTTGTGGCATTACGGGTTAATTTGTTTTAATCTTTACATTTTTCTGTATTTTTCTACTTCTCTTTAATGAATATTATTGCTTTTATTATCACATGAAGATCAATAAAATTAATCTAAAAAACACCAGAGGTCACCATCTACTTATAACAGCAGCACCCTCAGATGCAGCTCTGTGGGTCCTGGGGCGGGGAAACATCCGGAGCCCAGAGGCCACAGCTGCTCGATGAGTGTCAGTGGAGCTCTGTCCTCCCCAGAGGACAGAGGACACCAGCAAGATTACACAAAATATTACCTTCCTTGTCCACACGGAAGCCGAACTCATCATAATAGAACTCTGGTTGCTCCTCTGACTCTTCCTTCTAGAACCAGGATGGGGAAGAGTCAGTCAGGTGGCCCTGTCTGGGACTACAGGTTCTGGGATCACAGCCACCCGCGTTGCTGCCTGCTGAAATTCCACCCAGCCTTCAAGACTCAGATCAGAGGCCACCGTTCCCTGAAGCCTCTGTGGTCATCACTCAGCTGCAGGGGGCCACTACCTTCTGGAATTCTCCCAGCATTTTCCCTGTTCTTCATGGAGGTCAAAGACGGTAAGATCAAGGTAAGAGAACTGTTTTATGCATTTCTGTGTCTCCATAATACTAAGCACATAGTGCCATAATACTTTAACCTAATGACTTATTCACAGAGAAGGCGGAGCTAAGCTGCCATCTCTGAGGGTGGCCTCTGACCCTATGTGACTATGGTGGAGTGGCCACCTATGCCCTAGAACCTGTAGTGTGGGTCCCCTTCGGCACCACATCTTGGGAGCAGAGTGCTGGTAAATTGCTGTACCTGCGTGTACTTGGCCAGGATCTCCTGAGGCCACATGCTTGGAGTTAGGGCTGAGAAGGGGCCACTGGCAGAAGGCACATGGCTTCCTAAAATCAAGGAGGACCAGGAATAGGAGATGACGAAAATGCAGAGTGTTCAGGGGGAAAATTCAAGCCAGGACATTCCCCTGCCACCCCAAGGCACCAGCAGTGAAGGGACTGCCCGTCTCAAGCGGAATGGGTGAGGGAGGGGAAGAAACCTAGAGACATGCAACTTTCCAGAGGAGGAAAAGAAAAACAGGAGCATGTCAGAAAACATAACCAAATCTCATCTCCTTGCCTCCTCCTCCACCTAAGAATGAGGATTTGTAGGCCGGAAGGAGGGTGGAGGACAGAGACTCGGGCAAACGGGAGAGCTGAGCTCAGAAGAGATTGCAGCGACTCTCCCGACGCCCCATCAGAAGTCTTGCTCCTTTTTACCCCTCTTACCTGGATGGTCTTAGTGAGCCTCAAAGGTATATGAAAAACAAACAAGCCCACTTCCATCCCACGGGTGGGTCCTCCTGGGCAAGATGCCCCTGCTCTCTGGGGGCCTCTCACCCCATTTCCAGCCCAGGCCCTCCTCCCACCTGACATTGTGCAGACAGGCGAGGCGAGTCTTCTGCAGATCCAGACTCAGAAGTTTTCCTCTCCTAATGTCTCACAGCTGGAAGGCTCCTCAGGCTTCATCTGATAAAGAAACAGCAGCCCTGGTAGGAGAGCAAAGGGGAAGGTCATTCTAAAGCGGCTCCTCTCCTGTGATCCTTTCCACCCACCACTCTAGTTTTGCCGGCCCAGAAGCAGAGGGGAGGGAAGTCCTGGCCACTGTTCAACAAGGGAAGGAAAAGTCAGACTTAAAAAGCCTCCTATTCTGAAGAGTTCATCTGAGAGAGGATACACTTTGAAGAAGCTACAATACTAACGTTCTTAACAGCTCTGTCAGCCAAGGGGGGTGTCCACTCAGCCCCCACATTATCCAGGAAGGAGAAAACCATACGTACAGACTTCCCGATGCACTATGCTCAGGCAAATGTTCCTTAAAAAAGAAAACAAAAACCAGCCACTACCAAAACCTCCATGACTGGGTTCCCCTGAGACGGAATCTCCGAGGATCATTTGGATGGAATTCAGCCGAGCTGCTGAGTCAATGCCTCCACTCACCCCGACACTGACATTTTCCACCTCGTCCAACAGTCTGCTCTTCAACGTTTTCCACTAGCCTTACGGCTGGGAAACTAGGAAATGGCAATATATCTCTCCTGTCGCTGTTGAAACCCCTGCCTCTCTCTCTTTTTTGTCCTCTTAAAAAATAAGCACTCAACATAAAAGGACAAATAGCCCAATTCAAAAATGGGCAAAAGATCTGAATATACATTTCTCCAAAAAAGAGATGCAAATGGCCAATGAGCAGGTAAAAAAATGCTTGACATCATTAGTTACCAGGAAAATATGAATCAAAACCACAATGAGATACCACTTCACACCCACTAGGATGGCTATCATCGAAAAGGCAGACAATCCTAAGTGTTGACGAGGATGTGGAGAGATTGCACCCTCAGCCATGGCTGGTGGGAATGTAAACAGCTGCAGCTGCCGTGGAAAACAGTTTGGCAGTTCCTCAAAGAGATAAACACAGAGTCACAGGACCCAACAATCCCACTCCTGGTTATTCACCAAGAGAAATGAAAGCGTGTATCCACACAAACACTTGCATATGGATATTCATGGGAGCATTATTCATTACAGCCAAAAGAGTAGAAACAACCCAAATGTCCAACAACCAATGAATGGATATACAAAATGTATGGAATATCTATACAAGGAAATTTATTCAACCGTGAGAAGGAAGGAAGAACCAACAAGGCTATAACGTAGATGAATCTTGAAAACATCATGCTAAGTGAAAGAAGCGTCACAAGAGGATGAATATTGTGTGCTTCTACTCAAATGAAACGTCCAGGAGAGGCAAATCCTTAGAGACAGGAAGTAGATTGGTGACTGCCAAGGGACGGGGAGAGGGGAATGCAGAGGAATTGTTAACGGGGTTTCTATTTGGAGAGATGAAAAATGTTCTGGAAGTGGATAGTGGTGACAGCTGCACAACAGTACGAAATACTAAAACCACCATACTGTGTACACTTTAAAAATGGTGACTTTTATAGTATGTGAATTATATCTCAATTAAAAAAACAAACGCCATCATCTGGGGTGTCAGCACAAGTGGCTCCTCTGCCTTTCTAACTCTCTCTTTCTAACCTGCCCTATTAGAACCAGAAAGAGTCTATTATCACCTGCTTGAGCTTCAACAGAAATGCAGTTTTAGAGTAGTTTTCTCAGTCTTTTTCCTGAATAGCCTCTTACTTATAACTGTGAATGAAAAGCTTTGACTCCAGAAATAAATGTGAAGTAACAGTAAGGAGATATGGTTCAATATTTTAGGACAAGTTGTCTTTTCCTTGAAATCACATTTACCTAGAAGAAAAACCTCCTTTTGCCATTTTTCTGGTGACGAGAGTTTGGAAGTGACAGTTGTTACTCTGGTCCACAGCAGCCCCAGTCTTCTCCAGGCTATCTGCCACAGAACTCTGGTGTTGGGGATTCTGGGTAAGCCAGAAGGATCAGGTGAGAAAATAAAACCAAAAAGGAGGGAGGCTGGCCCAGTGGCATAGTGGTTAAGTTTGTGTGCTCTGCTTCGGCAGCCTGAGGTTCATAGGTTTGGATCCCGGGCACGGACCTACACCACTTGTCAGGTGCCATGCTGTGGCAGCATCCCACATACAAAATAGAGGAAGACCGGCACAGATGTTAGCTCAGTGACAATCTTCCTCTCTCTCTCTCACACACACACACACACACACAAAGGAACAGAGGTACAGAAAACCCATGTATATTAAGGGAAAGGTAGGTGATATTATAAATATATATATATATAAAAAAGAAGAAGAAACCAAAAAGGAAAGTCACAACCGCTTCAAGGGAGCTGTGAGGAAACATCACCCTGTGGGCCCTTAACTCGAGCGTCTGTTGAAAACGGGCACAGGAAAAAAAATCCCAGTTCTCTTTAAAGACATATTTGCAAATTTGGGGGCAAAAGAGCTCCTAAGGGCAGCTCAGCTGGGTCACCAACCTCGACTCCTACCCCCAGACACCTTGACCATGCGAAGTCGGGGCGAAATGCCCCTGGTGGAGGCTTTGGTGCCCACCTGGGAGAGCCCCTCCCTCCTGCTTCCAAGCCCTGCTGAGAGCCAGACGGAGAAGCCGCCTTCCCGACCGGCTCAGGCAGCCAAGGCTCATCTGTGCTGCAGGAGGACCACCGTGAAAGCATCCTGTCTCCCTTCGGTGTAACAGATACGTGGGGCCTGGTCTGAATCAGAATTCGGCGCTGGATGGAGCACTACATATTTTTACCTAAAAGGGACTAGCAGTTTTAAGAATCACGTCGTCATTCAATCCTCACGACACCTTTTGAAGTAGATCTATTCCCTATATACGAGAAAGTAAGCCTCGAAAAGACCTGGACCTGCACAGTTTTCCAAATAGGCTCCAGCAACGGTGCCTCCTGCAACACACGCTGCCCGCCACCCACCCTGTGAGACGACATCACAGCCACCAGCCAGGTAGCCCTGGGAGAATAACCTGTGCTCGGTTATGCCACCCATGGGCCTGGAGCCCCGGGAGGGCGTTTGCGCCATGGTGCTAGTCGAGGAGGGGGCGGCTTCAGAGCTCATCGCCTGCCCCGCCTTAGTGCAGAGGCTGGACAGCACTGCGGTTAAAGTGAAGACGTCTCCAGTCAGATGGAGGTGGATTCCAACCCCAGCTCTGTTGCTCCTCACTTGTTATAACCTCAGGCAAGTTCACTTCACCTTTGTTTTTTTTGAGGAAGATTAGCCCTGAGCTAACTACTGCCAATCCTCCTCTTTTTTTTGCTGAGGAAGACTGGCCCTGAGTTCACATCCGTGCCCATCTTCCTCTACTTTATATGTGGGACGCCTACCACAGCATGGCTTGCCAAGTGGTGCCATGTCCGTACCCAGGATCCAAACTGGCAAACCCCAGGCTGCTGAGAAGCAGAATGTGTGCACTTAACCGCTATGCCACCGGGCTGGCCCCTCACTTCACCTCTTTGAATCTGTTTTCTTATCCATAAAGTGGAATAAAAATATCTATGTCTTACGGTGGCTATGAGGATTAAGTGAGAATGCAAATAAGGCCCTTAGCACACCGTCTGACACACAACAAGTACTCAGGAAGCACAAGGCAATTAGTAGTAGTCCTCATAATTTCTAGAAATTTATTGTTAATGTCTGGGCCCTCTACACTGAGGTTTACTAAAAGCCATGTGATACCGCTGATGTCCCTCCATTACGACCTATACAAATGGTAATTTCCTATGTTTCAACATAATTTAAGCCAGTTGAGATCGTGAGAAAGACTCCTCCTCACTGAGGCCCCAGAGGTAGCGATCTTGTTGTTTCTTCTGGAAGGGTAGAGAAAGTGTGAAGGAAGCAGGTGTTGCTTGTGGTGAAGGAAATGAGCTGTCTCTGGCTGTGGAGGACTGAGGGGGCTGGGAAGACAATTCTCAATAAGCGGATCCCCCTCCTGACCTTAGCCTGCCTCCCACTCATTCACTCACTCAACAAACAGCTATAGAGCGCTGCCTTGAGCCAGGCGTGGTTCTAAGGGCTGAGATGCAACAGTGAAAAACAGAAGTCCTAGCCACTACATTACAGCAGAGAGTCAGACAATGAACAAAAAAACAGCTGTGTCAGATCATGATGACTGTGTACTCTGAGAAAAGTAAATGAAGGTACAGAGAGTATTGGAAGAGAGGGGCTATTTATATAAAACGGTTAGGAAAAGCTCTTTGAGGATAAGGTGACACCTGAGCCAAACAAAGAGAAGTGAGGGATCAAGTCATGTGGGTATCTCAGGGAAAAGCGATCCAGACAGAAGGAACAGCAAGTGCAAAGCCTTCAGGGCAGGAGCACACTTGGCAGGCTGAAGCAGCAGCAAGGCAGCCAGGGGGCTGGGGTGAGGAGAGGAGAGTGTGAGGAAACGTGGGAGACGCAGCAGGGTTACAGAGGGCCCAACAGCACCAGACAGACCTTGGATCTTACTCTCAGTGAGCTGGGACATTACAGGAGGGTTCTGAGCAGAGGGAGCCTGAACCTGCCTTAGGTTCTGAAAGCCCTCTCCGGCTGCTGTGCAGGGAAGACTTCAAGGCCGGAGGTGGTGGCAACGCCAGCGGGAACGATGTTGGCTTTGCTACAGCAGGACCAGCGAGAAATGGTCAGATTCTGGATACGTTTTAAAGAGTCTCTACAATAGTACATATATGCCACGTCTCCCACTGACTGCCCTAGAGTCTCCACGAACAGGAGCCGGATGAGATACTGCTAAGCTGGGCAGGCAGGTTTTTCCTGCCTCTGGTTGCTATGGAAACCTTCCCGCAAGCAGCCATCTAGGAGGTGGCGGAAGCAGCTGAGGAGTTAGCCACGTCACTGGCTGCCCTGCTGCTGTCAGAGAGGTACCAAGAGGCAGACGCTTCTGAAAAACAGGACTGATGCAAGCAACTCTGGGTGCTCTAGAAGGAATTTTTAAACATTAAATTTACATGCTTAAAGGAGTCAGTCTTTTTACTCTGCCTCCAGTGCATTTCTCTCTAGTTTGCCGATGCTACACAGACAAACTGTATTCACAAGGGAGCCCGTCAGATGTCACTGTAAACGCCCGTGTGTGTGGCCTCTTGATGCACATCAGCGAGATCCAGTCCTTCATCTACTCTTAACCCCCTGTCCTGTTTTCTTTTTTTTTTTTTAAAGATTTTATTTTTTCCTTTTTCTCCCCAAAGCCCCTCGGTACACAGTTGTATATTCTTTGTTGTGGGTCCTTCTAGTTGTGGCATGTGGGACGCTGCCTCAGCATGGTCTGATGAGCAGTGCCATGTCCGCGCCCAGGATTCGAACCAACGAAACACTGGGCCGCCTGCAGCGGAGCGCGCGAACTGAACCACTGGGCCACGGGGCCAGCCCCCCTGTCTGTTTTCTTGATGATACAGCAGAGTTGCCACAACCACAGAGCTGGTCACGCATTTGCCAGGGAACATGAAAGCTGTAAGCAGCAAAAGCAAAAATACTTGTATTCTAAGAGGCCTCTGCAATCCTGAAGACTATTATTTTTCCACGAGGAAATGACAGGACACTGAAGTCTATCGGTAACTAACTGGGAGAGAGAAGTGCAAAGCCAGGAAAGTCCGAGAAAGGCTGGAGTAAGATGATAATGTGGCCACTACAGATGCTAAAAAAAATAAAATCAGACAATAAATGCTCAATGGGATATGAACATTTTATTGGAAAATACATGAGTACTTTTTTCAAGGTAGGGTACAAAAACATTGGGGTTCTTCCTGGCTTCTCTTCCTCAGCATACCTCTAAAATGTGTGTGGGCTCCACCCTCTGCCCTTGCTCTTCTCACTCGGAGCTATTCCTGGGCAATCTCGTGCCCTGCCAGAGCTTTCACAACCACCTGTCAACTCCCTCCTCTGCTGACACGTTTCTCCCAAGCTCCAGACTCCTATTTCCAGCTGCTTCCTACTGCCGACATTATCTTTCTCAAATGCAAATCTGATCCCTGCGTCTTCCGCTTCACTCTGGCAATGATGTGCCATATCCCCAGAACATGGGCCACAGTTTCTAACAGCATGAGGTTCTACAGGACCTGGTTCTGCTCCTCTCTCACCATCCCCACTCTACCCTACACTACAGTCATGCTGGCTGACCTATTCCAGCTGCCCAAATGCTGCCTTCCTTTTGTCTCTAACGGTCTTCTCCTTCCTGTCAGACAGACTCCTATTCATACTTGAAGACTCAACTCAAACGACGTTTTCACAGAAAGAAGGTTTCTGTGGTGGCCAGCCTCCACGATGGCCCCAAATGATTCAGCCTCCTGGTATTCACACCCTTGTGTAGGCCCCTCCACGCCGAGCAACAGCTAACCTCTGTGACCAACAGAATATGGCAGAGTGGCCGTGTGTAACCTCCAAGGACAGGCCATAGTTGGCACCGCAGCTCCCCCTTGAGCTCTCCTGCCACTCGTCCTGGGGGAAGTCAGCTGCCATGAGATGAGGACACCCAAGGAGCACCACGGAGAGGCACCAACTTGTCAGCCACACGAGTGAGCCACCTTGGAAGTAGATCCCCTGGTCCCAAACCTTCGGATGCCTGCAGCCCCAGCCAGCATCTGACTGCAAGGTTGTGAGCGACCCTCTTCTCAGAATCTGAACCAACACGCCCCTGAATTCCTGACCCCCAGAAACCTTGAGAGATAATAAATGATTACGTGGTTTTAAGCCGCTAAGTTTTGGGGTGATGTGTCACACATCAATAGATAAGTACTATAACCTGCACGACCCTTCTCCGCCTTTAGTTGAAGTTCTCTCTCTATGCTCCTATAAAGCCCTGTGAATAAGTCCATCACAGCACATATCACCAGAGCATTTTTATTGCTTTTTCTCTTTTGGCCAACTGACCCCTCTAGACTAGACTACACCCAGTTTCTCGTTACATCCTTGGCACTCAGAAGTCTCTTGATAAACATTTGTTAGATAAATTAGACGAATGAATGAAGAGCAGATGAGGAAAAAGTAAATAAAAGTCCTATTTCATACCATGGTAATAAATAACTAGCATTTTATGTACTCCATATTCTCCCTTCTTCTGGGTGTCTGGAAACAGCAATCCCCACCACACTTTCTGAAACTGTGTCCTTTTCTCACTCTTCCCCACAGCACAGTTCTGGGGAGCTGTTTATATCTGCACGACTTCATCTCCCTGAGCCTAGCTGATGGTTCTGGGCAAGCACAGACCTGGGTGTGCCAACCTTAAGACTCAGCAGCCATTGCCGAACAAGACCAGACCAGGCATGAGCACCTGATCCCAAACGGCCTAATGAACCCTTCTTGGAGGTGCTGGATTTGAGACCTAGAGAGCCAAGGAAGTGTGTCCCTTTGGTGATGGAAGCACACATTTATACACACACACAGACGAATGTATGCACCTTCATATAATTATATGTATATACATACATACAAAACTTTTTAAAAATAAAATACTCAATGTTGGTAAAAACTAATTTTGTGATTTAAAAAACCACTTCACTCATGAATTTCTGTAAATTGGAGAGCTTTGAGCAGGGGCACAACATGGTTTGACTTAGGTTTTAAATAAAGCACACTGGCTGCTGGGTGAAGAATCAACCGCGGCGGGGTGAAGGGCGGCAGCTGTAACAGTTGTCTAGGTTAAGACACGGCATCTTAGATTAAAGTAGTTGAGATGGTTACAAGTAACCAGATTCTGGATATACTTTGGAAGTGCAGAGGTAGATAATGAAAAGAAGGAATCAATGATGTCTCCTAGGTTTTTGACCTGAACAACTGTGCAGGTCCCATTAACCAAGATGAGGGAAAGCCGAGGGGAGAGCAGGTTTCAGGGTTAGAAATCAAGAGATCTGCTTTGGCCATGTTAAGCTGGATGCTTATTAGACCTCTAAGTGGAAATGTCAAGAAAGGAGCTGTGTGTAGGAGTATGGAGTTCACAGAAGCCCAGTTCACAGAACTGGAGATGTGAACTTGGGAATCATCAGGACTAGATGTCATGGCCGAGGAGAAAATGCAGAAGAGAGGGCCTAGGACCCAATCCTGGAACATTCCAACACTTAGAAGTCAGGCAGAGAAAGAAACAAGAAATAAAATTTGAGGAGAGGTCAGTGAAGTAGAAGGAACACAGTAGTATGTGGTGGTGTAGAAACCAAGAGAAGAAAGCTCTTCCAGGAGGGGGCGATAATCAGTGTCACAGGCTACCTAAAGGTCAAGCAGTATGGGGACAGAGAATTGGTCAGTGGTTTGGCAAGGTGGTGGTTGTTGGCAATCTTGACAAGAGCTTCAAGTTTTAATGGTGAGGGTGAAAGTTCAACTGGAGGGGGGTTGAAGAGGGATCAGAAGAAAAGTGGAGTCATCGGCATCAAGATAGTACATGATTTCAACAATTCAAAAGATAATACATACATGCTGAAGGTAACACAAAAATGAAGATGGCTGGGTTAGGTGGTAGGAGTATGAGATTTATTGGTCTTGATTTTTAATGTTTTGTTTTTGAAAAAGTATAAAGGTATTATGTTCAAAAATAATTACATCAAGAAACTTGTAGGGCCGACCCGGTGGTGCAGTGGTTAAGTTCACACGTTCTGCTTCAGCAGCCTGGGGTTCACCAGTTTGGATCCTGGGTGTGGACATGGCACTGCTTGGCAAGCCATGCTGCGGCAGGCGCCCCACATACAAAGTAGAGGAAGATGGGCATGGATGTTAGCTCAGGGCTAATCTTCCTCAAAAAGGAAAAAAAAAAAAAAGAAAGAAACTTGTACACAAATGTTCACAGCAGCATTATTTATAATAACCCCCAAGTGGAAACAATACAGCTATCCTTCAAAGGATGCACAGATAAATAAAATGTGTATATCCACGCAATGGAATATTATTCAGTCATAAAAAAGGAAGTACTGATCCATACTACAATTGGGTGAACCTTGAAAACATGTTCAGTGAAAGAGGCCAGTCACAGAAGATCACATATTCTATGATTCCATTTATATGAAATGACCAGAATAGGCAAATCCATAGACACAGGAAGTAGCTTAGTGGTTGCCAGGGGCTGGAGGGAGGAAGAAATAGAGAATGACTGCTAATGGGTATGGGGTTTCTTTTTGGGGTGATAAAAATATTCTGGAGTTAGATAGTGGTGATGGTTGCACAACACAGTGAATAGACTGGAAACTTTGAATTGTATACTTTAAAATGGTGACTTTTACCTAGGATGACAGATCCATGTTGCGAGGGACCCAGGCCCGTTCTATGTTATGTTCTAAGTTTGTCCATCCCTAAGGCACTGTCCTCATGTGAGTGGTCCAACATGGCTGACTACCACCATGTACAGGTTCCTGTTGATGAGAAAAAGAGGAGGGGAAGGGGAGGGCATGCCCATTCTCCAAAATGGCAAACCCAGAAGTTACACTTGTCATTTCTGCTCGTACCTCATTGGCTAGAACTCACTCATGTGGTGTCTTAGTCTGCTTGAGCTGCCATAACAAAGTACCACAGCCTGGGGAGTGTAAACAACAGAAAGTTTCCTCTCTCAGTTCTGAAGGCTGGGAAGTCCAAGACCAAGGTGCTGGCTGATTTGCTTTCTGATGAGGGCTCTCCTCCTGGCTTGCAGACAGTCACCTTCTTGCTGTGTCCTCACATGGTGGGGAGAGGAGGGAAGAAATCTCTTCTTCTTATAAGGCCCCAGTCCTATCGGATGAGGGCCCCACCCTTATGACCTCATTTAACCTTAATTACCTCCTAAAGACCCTATCTCCAGATACAGCTGCATTGGGGGCGGGGGTGGTTAGGCTTCAGCATACGAATTGGGTGGGGACACAAGTCAGTCCACAGCCTCATGGCTCACCTCAACATGGCCTCACCTCGTTGCACAGAAGCCTGGCAGGCACAGTGTGCATTCTCAGCAGGATTCCATTACTAATATTGGAGGTCCATTAGCAGTTTCTCATAGAACCCAACTTTTTACCTTCTAGGCATTTCCTTTGGCAACACTGTTTTAGTATCTGTTATTTTATTTGCATTTTTGTGAATCACAGCACCACAGTCCTACTATATATATATATTTATATACTATATAAAGACCAACATAAACGATATGTTTATTGCCCACCACAGCTCTCCCCAATGCTGTAAATGAATGTTAATTTAGCATCTCAGAGAACAAAAATGACCAGTGAGCTCATGTTAATTGTATAAAACCATTTTAATTTAATAAAACTACGTAAAACACAACAAAAAAAGGGTGACTTTTATGGCGCATGAATTATATCTCAAAAAAAAATTACAGCTTAAGGACAGAACACTGAGGAATATGAACGTGTCCTCCTTGAGCGTTTCCAAGGCCCACAAACGAAGGCCTGAACTTACAGCAGCCACGTGGCTTCTCTAAGCCTCGCCTTCCTCTTCCTCTGACAGAGCTCCTACTTGTCACCTCCAAGAGCCACCTCGGCAGGATTTAACGTTTAGACAAAACCAAGGAAAGCAAAAGTGAAAAGAAAAGGTGCAGACTATTAGAAACAGCTTATCTCTAACTGTGAAAAGGATCCCTTCCTGTCACACATAACTAAGACTTTCCTCACACCACTCAGCATGAATCTGACATCTTAGCAACCTGTGAAGGCAGGAACTCCCTGAGCCGCTAAAAGGTAAAGTCTGTCATCTTTCAAGTTATTATAACAAGTTTCCCCCTAACGGTCTAGCACTCACTGGAAAAACAACTGACGACACTGTTCTCAAGCTACTGTTGTTGTTTTGTTTTTAAAGGCTAAATAAAATCCCCAGGTGACTGACTTCACGTGGGATTGCAGCTGCTTTCTCTTACACAGAACTGCAATACTTTCCCCAAAGCAAAAGCCGCTGAAAGCAGTTTAAAGGAAAACAGAGGCTTACAAATCAGGAGACCAGAAAAGTACAGCAATTTGCAAGACAGGCTCTGAGGAAAAAAAATGCTATTTCCCGATCTACTTTTACAGAAACGCCTTCCTGTCCCCAGAGTTTTCTCCACAGCCCAGGCATTCGGTGCCCAGCCACCACGGGAGCTGAGGTCGGGGGACACGGCTGTCAGAGCCCAAGGCGCAGGAGTGCTTCTTCCCAGCACTTCTGGGCACTTTGCACAGGTCTGTTCTGTTCCACTGAGAACACAATAAGATGCAATCACAAATCATACAGTGCAGCCGGATAAGTCTAAGTTACAGGTCAGAAGAAAATCTCTGGAGTTTATAAGCACAGTCACTGTGTTTACCATGGGAAGAGAAGTTCTGGACTCTCCTCTGAGTTTTGCAATTACACTAACACAACAACATTAATGAAAATCAAAATTTTAAAAAATTCTGCCACATTTTTTGCCACCCCAATAAATCTCACTTTCCTCTCTTCTATGCTCTTTTGGTTTTTCTCTACATAAATACAGTTCTTAAAGATTTTAAAACATTTTTTCTCTACTTAACATTAAATTATCAGCCTTTTCCCCAGTAACTATGCAGTCTTTATAGCCATATGTTTTCATTTCCTAATCTAGTCATCTGTTGATATGACATTTAAGCACCTAACAGCAATATCTGTAATCAAAACAATGCTGAGGAACTCTCCCTTTGAAGACTTCTTAAATGAAATTAAAAAATCTGCTTCACTTGGGAGAGGATTTGTATAAAAAATCTGCTTTTTCTACATTACAGTGTCAGCTTTGTAAATAGAAATCAAAGTATGAGATTAGGTTAATAAATTACTGGTATTAGAGTTTAATATGATGCTACTTGAAGCAAGGTAATTAATCTAATGACCCTTAAACTTAAAATTTTATGTTAGGGGCCGGCCCGGTGGTGCAGCAGTTAAGTGAGCACATTCCGCTTCGGCGGCCCAGGGTTCGCCGGTTCGGATCCCGGGTGTGGACGTGGCATCACTTGGCAAGCCATGCTGTGGTAGGCGTCCCACATATAAGGTAGAGGAAGATGGGCACAGATGTTAGCTCAGGGCCAGTCTTCCTCAGCAAAAAGAGGAGGATTGGCAGCAGATGTTAGCTCAGGGCTAATCTTCCTCAAAAAAAAAAAAGTTCAAAAAAATTTTATGTTATAATTATAGCATAATGAAGAATTACTATTTTAATAGTGGTCTCCAGAATGCTTCCCAGAGAGGGGGGTTTATCTTTGTTTGGGAAAACACCTTGATAAACTCCTTAAAGGTGGAAGGTAAACCTTGAAAGCACAGATTAGAAGAAAGGAGAGATCTGTCAACTGCCTAGCAAAAGACATTAGTAGAAATTTAGAGGTAGGGGAGAAGAGAAAACAGAGGTGGCCTGGACCACAGAGGGGACAAGAAGAGAAGTCCAAAGACACGGTGAGGAGCTGCGTCCCCCTGGGAGACACTGATACTCGGCGTGTCTAGGGGTGCGGAGGCCGGGGGGTGTGGGGGACACCAAATGCCTCTTCAGAAAAAGACAATCTAAAACCCAATTTAGGGGCCGGCCCCATGGCCGAGTGGTTAAGTTCGCACGCTCCGCTACGGTGGCCCAGGGTTTTTCCAGTTCAGATCCTGGGAGCAGACATGGCATTGCTCATCAAGCCATGCTGAGGTGGCGTCCCACATGCCACAACTAGAAGGACTCACAACTAAAAATATACAACTACGTACCAGGGGGCTTTGGGGAGAAAAAGGAAAAATAAAATCTTAAAAAAAATAAAGTCTATCCTTTAAAAATAAATAAATAATAAAACCCAATTTAAGATATTGTGTTGTTGCAAGCTAAAATCCCCCTGCCATCCCGTATCTTCAGTAAAGCCTGCCCTACTCATAAGAGCCTGGAGGGTGGTTTGAGGGAAAATCAAAGAAAAGGTCTGAAAGTAGGGATAATAATTCCTACTTTATAAGGTTGTTATGAGGATTAAATGAGTTAAATTTGAAAAATTTGGGTGAGGGTGTTGGAATTCTCACATAATGTGGGATATAGGGCTTGCGTCCTTTTTATTAAAATTAAGTGATTTCCGCTGATCATGTCATGCGGCAGTTTTATTAGCTTATCTCATTTCTTTCTACAGGCATATAAAACAACTGTTTAAAAATGCGAGCTACACTTCAGCCATCATGGAGCTTACAGCTCCCTGACTCTACAGTGTTGTTCCCTCTCCTCAAAGATCTCGATCAGTGGTTCTCAAACTGCAGAGTAGATCAGAATCAACTGGAGGGGTCCTTACAACCCAGACAGCTGAGGCCCATACCCACAATTCCCAGCCTGCAGGTCTTAGAGCCTAAGAATGTGCCTTCCTTACAGGTTGCCGAGTGAGGCTGATACTCTTGGTCCAGGGTGCACACTCTGGGAACCACTGAGGTGAATGCCCCTTTGACGATCCTTCTTTCACATTCTGACTCAGATGTGACCTCCTCTAACACCTCCCCTTCCAACTTCCATGCCCCTACCTCCCCTCTCTGACAGAATTAATATTTTGTACCTGCTCCTATTGTTCCTTAGTTCATCCTGTAATCTATTCATGTGCACATCTGCCCTACATCTGGTACCTAGCCCAGCTGACTGAGGAGAGGACACCAAACTCCTGGAAGATCCTCACGTACAGCAAGCTCCTTTGGAAGTTCCTGTGCTGGGCTCCTTCTGCTTGCAATGCCCTCCACTCCACCTGGCTTCTCATTCCTCAAGCCTCAGCTTAGGCCTGTCCTCCTCCAGGAAGCCTTCTCTGACACTCCCCCGCCTGGTTTGTGTTAGGTGCCCCTATTCCTCTGTCTACCTACAACATATCAGACAACCTATCTATAACATATTTCTCATAATAATAGCTAACAAGCAGAGTTGATTAAAATCTTCAGACACCCTTTGGTCCAGCAATTCCCACTTCTGGAATTTTATCCTACACTTCAGCAAAATGACTCATATACAAGGACACTCCCTACAGCATTGTTTGTGATGGCAAAGTATTAGAAAACCTAGATATCTGTTGGTAGGGGACTGGTTAAATAAATGACAGTCTATCCACATAATGCAATAGGGTGCCACTGGAAAAAAAAAAAAAACGGTCAGCTATTTGTGCATTGATATGGAATGATCGCCAAGATGCACTGTCAAGTGGAAAAAACAAGGAGCAAAACAGTAAGAAGAATGGTAAACATTTGTACAAAAAAGGGGGAATTTCCACATAAAATTGAGAAAGCTGTATGTGAGAGGAACTGGGTGGGAGAGACTTTTTACTTAATACTCTTTATACCTTTTCAATTTTGAACTATTTAATATATTACCTATTCAAACAAATAAAGCTAAAGATGAAAAAAATTTTAAAGACCTTTAGATAGCCACAGAATAAAAATACTATGGGGCTGGCCTAGTGGCACAGCGGTT